GAAGAAAAAGAAAAAGAAAGAAAGATCAACAATTATGGTGAATAGTAGTGAAGAAAAAAGTCTTTTTTTCGCGGTAATTCTCATCAACAATGAAATTAGTTAAAGAACTAAGAATTAAGATGTATGTTGGTATTCAAATGTCTAGACAGTTCTACTGTATGGGGCAGAAACATGGAAAACTACGAAAGCCATCATCCAGAAGATACAAGTGTTTATTAACAGTTGTCACGCAAAATACTTCGGATCCGTTGGCCGGACACTATTAGCAACAACGTACTGTGGGAGAAACAAACCAGATCCCAGTGGAGGAAGAAATCAGGAAGAGCAATGGAAGTGGATAGGACACACATTGAAGAACGCACCCAACTGTGTCAAAAGACAAGCCCTAACCTGGAATCCTCAAGGCAAAAGGAAAAGAGGAAGACCAAAGAACACATTACGCCGGGAAATGGAGATAGACATGAAAGAAATGAACAAGAATTGGATGAAACTAGAAAAGAAGGCCCAAGACAGAGTGGGTTGGAGAATGCTGGTCAGCGGCCTATGCTCCATTGGGAGTAACAGGCATAAGTAAGTAAGTAAGTAAGTAAGTAAGTAAGTAAGTAAGTAAGTAAGTAAGTAAGTAAGTAAGTAAGTAAGTAAGTAAGTAAGTAAGTAAGTAAGTAAGTAAGTAAGTAAGTAAGTAAGTAAGTAAGTAAGTAAGTAAGTAAGTAAGTAAGTAAGTAAGTAAGTAAGTAAGTAAGTAAGTAAGTAAGTAAGTAAGTAAGTAAGTAAGTAAGTAAGTAAGTAAGTAAGTAAGTAAGTAAGTAAGTAAGTAAGTAAGTAAGTAAGTAAGTAAGTAAGTAAGTAAGTAAGTAAGTAAGTAAGTAAGTAAGTAAGTAAGTAAGTAAGTAAGTAAGTAAGTAAGTAAGTAAGTAAGTAAGTAAGTAAGTAAGTAAGTAAGTAAGTAAGTAAGTAAGTAAGTAAGTAAGTAAGTAAGTAAGTAAGTAAGTAAGTAAGTAAGTAAGTAAGTAAGTAAGTAAGTAAGTAAGTAAGTAAGTAAGTAAGTAAGTAAGTAAGTAAGTAAGTAAGTAAGTAAGTAAGTAAGTAAGTAAGTAAGTAAGTAAGTAAGTAAGTAAGTAAGTAAGTAAGTAAGTAAGTAAGTAAGTAAGTAAGTAAGTAAGTAAGTAAGTAAGTAAGTAAGTAAGTAAGTAAGTAAGTAAGTAAGTAAGTAAGTAAGTAAGTAAGTAAGTAAGTAAGTAAGTAAGTAAGTAAGTAAGTAAGTAAGTAAGTAAGTAAGTAAGTAAGTAAGTAAGTAAGTAAGTAAGTAAGTAAGTAAGTAAGTAAGTAAGTAAGTAAGTAAGTAAGTAAGTAAGTAAGTAAGTAAGTAAGTAAGTAAGTAAGTAAGTAAGTAAGTAAGTAAGTAAGTAAGTAAGTAAGTAAGTAAGTAAGTAAGTAAGTAAGTAAGTAAGTAAGTAAGTAAGTAAGTAAGTAAGTAAGTAAGTAAGTAAGTAAGTAAGTAAGTAAGTAAGTAAGTAAGTAAGTAAGTAAGTAAGTAAGTAAGTAAGTAAGTAAGTAAGTAAGTAAGTAAGTAAGTAAGTAAGTAAGTAAGTAAGTAAGTAAGTAAGTAAGTAAGTAAGTAAGTAAGTAAGTAAGTAAGTAAGTAAGTAAGTAAGTAAGTAAGTAAGTAAGTAAGTAAGTAAATGTTGGTATTCATATTTAGCTATTAATCGACTTTAATGTAAACTTGTAATTGAATAACAATATCGAGTCAACTTGTTCATGATGAATAGATATCAACATAGACTGAACAATTACGGTTACAAATAATAATAACAGGGAATCGGAGGCTCAGAATAACACTTTCATATTTATTGAACAAGTTACTGGTCAGTGCTTGATAGTTCAGATAATATATTTGTGCTTAAAGCGTAAAGTGTTGAGTATGAGTCTTAATGTAAACACTTACATTAATACAAGTACACTCAGTTGACGAAACCCGTTAGGAACTTGTTTCCACTATTAGTCACATATTAAATATACTGAAACTATTTTGAACTAGTCTGAGACTACTATACACATACGGTAACAGATTGGACATACGAATCCAAAAAGTTAAAGTTCAACATAACCATATAACCATTGAACGGAAAATCCATGTACTCAAATTTGATAAACCTGTCATATACAAGGCAATCTTAAACCAATAACAACGGGAAGTTACATTCGTCCTCATCAGATGGTCGACTTATTGGTTTGAAACTTTCAACCAAAAGCATTATCAGTATAGAGTCGTGAAGATTGATGACTTTCGATTGAGATCATGAATCGATCAATGTTATACCAGCATTGAAAAACCTGGAAGCACTGGATGGCTATTTTACCCTAGTATTGGACATCTTAACAGTGCACATCCACGATCCCGCACGTGGGATTCGGACTCAGAACTCTTGGTTTCGCGCGCGAACACTTAACCTCTAGACCACTGGACCGGCATTCAATGGCCTTTCTGTGCCTCCAGGTTCTCAATGGTAGCCTACCATTGGTCGATTTATGATCTCAATCAATTGTTAAACGTTAATTAAGTTTTCAACTTTTGTTCCATTCTCCATCATATATGGCTTGATTGTATGTGAAGTGTGATACCTAACTTGAAGTGTATCGTAGTCTGATAAGTTATGTATATAAACCTATGAGTGCGTGAAAAATATATAATAAGAGCTTATCTACTACTGGAGAGAGAGAGAGAGAAAGCTGTGTTCCAAACCAATAGAAGCGAAGTTATCTCGGCAGGGTGTCATTAGTGAAAAATTAGTACGTTAGACCATATACAAAGTAGTATACTTAGAATAGAGAAGTTTGAATCTGGAATCGTGATTGGTGAATCTTGCTCTGGTAATATCGACTAAGCTTCTATATAATCACGCGTGGATAAGTAGTAGTAGGAACTTGTGATACTGATAAAATAGCTTATCAACTAGTCACACACACACACACACACACACGCATACACTACAAGTTTTACAATCACAGAAAAACTACGAATTATTAATCCTGCCAAGAAAAAAAATGCCTTCTGTTCAGCGATAACAACAAAATGAGGTATAAAGAGACAAAAAAAAATCAGTTACGCATTCATCGTTGAAACAAGTCACACACAGATACACGCATGAAGAAAAAAGGTAGTGTATGGTCTAGTATCATAACTTATTTGTTATTTTCCATACACAAAAAAGTATATCTATATAAACAGAACACATGTGTACTGAAAGAAAAAAAATGTATCCATTGGAACTAATAAATATTGATTAAACACTGGATCAGTCTTTGATCGGAATAGGTATCATTCAGTATCAATGCTACAATATTTTCTTTTTTTGAAAGTTGAACATAATAGTGGCAAATTTAGTGGTAGATAGTGAGGAAAACTACAGATACAAAATAATTCAGCTTATAAAGTTGTGTAATTACATAATTATTATTTCTAAGGCAATAAAATAAACATGCTTAACGTACTATTGAACAATGTCGAATGGAATAGTCACATAAAAAAAGTGCTTAGTTAGTTTCAATGAATTACAAGCAAAATGTGTTATGCATTTATGAGGGTTAGTAAGAATTAATACAGTAAAATACAGTCAGTCAAATGCAATGTGAATCAGTCCAAGATTTGAAACGTCCCATTTGCACAGTGAGATGAAATTATTGGGGTAAATTCCAGAGTAACAGAGGTAGGAACAGTATGAATGAAAATAGAAAAGATTAAGCATCGAAGATACTACTCGTGAAGAAGATATGGGATCTGAAAGAATACGCTCCAGTTAGTGTGAATGATTTTGACCAATGTCATCCCAAGTCCTTAACTATTGACTATGACTAGGTAGTCTAAGGTAAAAGAAAATGTTTTTTGGTAAATAGTCAGTTGCAATCAATGAAGAACTTGACATAAAGATGTGTCATTCTAACTACGTCATCCAACCACAAAATATCATTCACATAATGAATGGCAAAGGATTTGAAACACATGTAGGGTTAATAACGTTAGTAAGACAGAAAAATGTTGAGAATATATTTCGAAAAGGTATATATGGACGTACACTACAACTTAAGGATTTAGAAGACGATGAAGGTTGAATGCATCTACGACTTTGTGACAGATCACAAGCCAAGTCACTCAGCGCTTTAAACCAGCCAGTAGTTTGTAGCTATCAACATTGGACTAAAACAAAAAATTCAAGAACTTGGAAAAATGATGCAACGCTTTGATTTGGTAGTTCATTTTTTTTCTAACTCACTTTTACACCAGTTAAAATATCGCCTATGTGCACTAATGGTTTGGAGTCAGGGTTTCCCAACTCCCTTAGGTGGATCCTCCTTCATACCTATCAACTCGGTTTAGGCCTCAACCAGATATTTGCTTTTCGGCTTCTTAATTTCATACACAACACTCGTGGTGTGAGAAGCCAGTGAGTAGAACTTTCTTGACAGTGTCTGTATACACATGGTCATATGAAAGCATTTTGAGAGGGAAAGCTAACTCTCTCCACAGATTAACAAATTCAATTTTTTTTGTATTGCTATAATTTTTAACAGATAAATCATGAAAATAGTCTATTATATTTCTGAATAACAAATATAAATGTTTTATGATTCACTCAGTGTCGATCACTGACTCGCACACGCTCTCAATAATGATCAACCATAATGTGCCTAAAATTCAGCAACGATCAAATAGTAGATAAGAAGTATTAGTGTGACCACAATAACGGCGACGATTAGAAAGGAACAAAGAAACAAAATCTTCATAATTTAACATAGCCATAAATGTAAACTATCGAAATTTAACAATCTCTACAAACCTGCTCCCGTCCCCTCGACATACTAAAAATAATTCTATGCTTACTGGTGACCTGTTATTTCTAGATGTAATTCCAGGAGTTCTAGTAAGAGGATGCGACTAGCCAAGTCCAACCATGTTGGGTATGAGGAAGTTATTTTGTCTTAGACAATGCAACGGAAGGTGGTTGTGTGATATCGCGAATTAAGTGAAATTAGATAGGTACACCATTGCATGGTTTAGAGGCTTAGTATTTGGATGAGATATCTGGGTTCGATTCCCGTTTGTGTGGCCGTACATGTGCACTCATGAAAAATTCAATACTAGAATGAAACAGCTATGCAGTGTTTCCTGGTTTTCAGTAGTGATCTAACTACAGTCAGTACGTCACACAAACTAGGAAGAAAAGCAAGATGGCAATTTTAGTAAAATTATTGTAAATAAAATCACCGTTCTTAAGTATGTGTACATAAAAACGTGTATATATGTGTACACACACACACACACACAAACTGTATATCTACATACATATATATACATACCTGTCATTAGTGAGCTGAATTTATGTTCATTGTTTGGAGATTCCGAATGCGAAACATCCACGGTAGAAGATATATCCCAATTGTTATTACTGTTTACATTATGATAATTTACACTGCTGGTGGTGGTACTTCCACAGCTACCACTAAAATAACCAGTGGTAGAGGTGACAACGTTGTTCATTGTATTGGTTGGATTATTTGCAGTTGAGAAATTAATTGAACCAACTGAGGGACCATTAGTACTAATACTATTACTGGTATTACTAGCATTATTATTGCTATTAATATTATTATTATTTACACCAACAGGACGTTGAAGCCATTGTTTGAATCCGCGTAGTATTTTATTTGTACGAATTAAACTAGTTGAATGTGATTTATCGTCAATGCTGTTGTTAATATTACTAGGAGTTACATCAGACGTTGTCTGATTATTACTGTTATTATTATTGGAGATATCGTTTATTATTGTCTCAGTGTTGTCCGATCGAATACCATCTACAGATAAGAAAAGTCGAGAATTATTTAAAACTTTTATTCGCATAAATGTAAAAAAATATCAGTATAAATGAGAAAGTGATCCTACTGGGTACTTTTTGAAAATGCCAAAGTAAAAAGAGATATAAGGCCACTATTACAAAAAATTCTTTTAAACTCTATCAATGCATGATTGTGTTTAGTACCCCCAAATGACCCTGTACGTTCGAGAGTGGAAAGAGTCAGCTCTTCATCTATAAATGCTTCCACATGAACACATGTATACAGACACTATCAAAGAAGTTCTACCCACTGCCTTCTCATACCACAAGTGCTGTTTACGAAATTAAGAGGATGAAAATCGAATGTCCGGTAGGGGATTAATCCGAGTTTATAGGTATGATGGAGGATCCACCTAAGGGAGTTGGAAAACCCTGATTCCAAGCCAATAGTGTACATGGGCTCTATGATCCTGAGGGAACGAATGGTGTTTGAACATATTGTTGGGGACTGGCTATTATTGGACTACATCTCCTACCGTTGTTCGACTGCCTCGTGGGTTAGACCTCTACCTCTAAGTGAAAGGCTCTGGGAATGCCCCTGTAAGAAAACCATCCGGTTTAGTTTGGGCAACTGGACAATATTCCAGCTCTCACAGCAATCGAATGATTTGTGTGGCGCACATATATTCGGTGCCTCATTGTATCAATGTTGATATGTTTACATAAAGGTATAGAATAAAGAAGATGGATATAAAGAGAACAGGAAAGTCAGTCAGTAACAACGTAGAAATTCGTACGTACGTACATCAGTTCGAGTTGCCACATCACATTTGCACAGAGATGCAGTTGTCAACTCAATTTCCGTAGTGGTAGAGGTAGTAAGAGTATAAGCAGTAATCGAGAATATTAGGGTTTGAAGATGTTATTCAAGCAGTATAATCCAGTGAAATATATTTAAAAAGAGAAAAAAAGAGACAAGGAGAATTATGGTGATTACAATTTGGGAGAACACAAAGAGTGGATGCACCTGAGCCATTGCAAACGATTTTGAGCCATGTCATTCAGGGTCTCTAACCATCGGTTGCTTTCATCTCGTGGTCCCCAACCAAGTAGTCTATACCTACTAACATGACTCAGTCCACTTGTCAGTGACTTCATGGACTTGTGCCATGTTTTGGCCTGGCCGCCTCTAGCTTTCTTCCAACCTACTCCTATACCACTGAACATCGCACGTCGAGGCAGTCGGTGGTCGGGCATACGTAACACGTGTCCCAGCCATCTCAACTGATGAAGTTTCACTACTCCATCAATTGATTTGCCATTCTTACCTTGTACCCGTTTCCTGACAACTGCGTTACTGACTCGATAGTCCCAGGATATACGAGCAATGTTTCGAAGACACCTATGATCAAATACTAGTAACCTACGAATATCCTCTACTCTTACCGGCCATGTTTCACTGCCATAAAGTAGGACGGAACGAACTGCTGCGCAGTAAACCCGTTCTTTGGTTGATAGACGGATATCTCGCCTACGCCATAAATGACGCAAGTTGGCAAAAGCAAGCTAGTCGAGCCTTCTGTATCCGTGCTGAGATTTCGTCACATACAAGACCACAAGGGCTGATGAAACTTCCAAGATAAGTGAAGCGGTCGACACGCTCAACTACTTCACTGCCTATCATTGGTTCGGGTGTCAATGCAACCCAATCCTGAAGCAACATTTTGATTTCGAGAATGGGGAGAATCTCATTCCGAACATGCTAACATTATTGCTTAGAGTGGTCAGAAGACTCTGCATTTTGTCACGAACAGGAAAGAAAACGAAGGGCAATTAGAATAACAACAGGATTGAAATAATGATGGAGTATGTAAAGGACAACTCAAGGAAGATATACAAATGATGTATTTAATGTATTATTTTTATATTTTTCAAAGGCGCAGTGTGGCTTACAATACCTGAGATTTTGTTCACTATAGTCTTACGAAATGGTGAGTTGATCATCTACTATTTTGTAACCAAATCACAAACTTATATCTGTTTTCACAACAACAACAACAAATAGGAACAAACTTAGATTCAATAATAAATTACCAACCTAAATCAATTTTCTCTCGAGTTCGTGTTCGAAATTTATTAGCAACATCAGATTTATTACATTTTATTGAATTCACATCTTCACCATCAACTATAACATTTGAATAATCTGAATCAGTCGATGACTGATGAATAACATAACGGCGATGTAGACGTCTTTTATCTTTCATTAAACAATATGGTCCATATGTATTGGTGATGAAAGGGCTACAAGTAGTTATAAAATTTGTAATACCTGGTTGAATAAAAACATCTCTATGCATTGAATTATCAAAATCGTCAGGGTTATTGTCACCGGTGTAATCATTATCCATATCGTCATCATCGTTGTTTGCTAGAGGAGGTACACGATATTTATTACCTTTTACTGTAAAATCATGAGACAAACTTTGATTTAATTTTGTTGGGATTTCAGATAATAACGATGATAATTTGAGGAGAAATAATTCATATGGATTAGATGAGGATTTTTACGATATGTTGTCAATGTAGCTTGTAGAAAAAGAAAGAACAGATAACATTCAGATTATTAAATAATCAGTAGTATAAGGAGATCAGTATGTGGAAATTATTGAATTTTCATAGTTTACATATTACAGATTGATCTTAGATAACCTGTTAAACACTTCAATAGTGTGTACAGAAGATAAACCACATGAGATTCAATCTCGAAACTTTGTGTTACAAGAAGTTCTTTAAGCAGGTATGTTGGCTGAGATACTAGCAAGAACCTCAGTTGATAAAGGTCTTTTGATGAACAAAGATAAATCATTTGACTAATATTATAGTATCTAAAGGATAAGCATGCAAAATTACTCGGTATCCAGAAGGAGGTAGAGAGAACCAAGTCGCTTTGATGCATTGTTGTATACGTAAAAAGCTACTTCAAGAATAGTCTGAGTCGACTCTTGAAATGAACATAGGGAGTGAAGTAGTTAGGTGAGAGAATGACGATCACCAGTCACTCTCTATACTACTTAATGACATGGTCTATGGAAATAAATTTCATATTTGGCCTGTGAGTATTTAATCATAAATGTCTATCAGGTATCGCACAGGCACTGTACAGCAACAAAGGGAGAAATAGTAGGACAAGAATTATGGCATTAGACAGAGATGAAAAGTCGGTAACTATTTTTGCGAATTATCACCAACTGATATAAAGGATGGAAGATAACTATAGGCGCCCACATCAAGGCATAGCATCAGTTCATGAAGTCGCTGACTTTCGTCTTGGTAAGTGCATATTATCTTGTTGAGGTCTACATAATAACATAGACCAGTGATTGAAGACAACAAAACACGATTCATAATCGATTACAACGGTACATATAAATTCATTGTTTATCATACTCCAAGATCTAGTTTCACTATTCCTTTATATATACATTTTCATTCACTCGTCTCGAAAAACATCCTCAATATTTAATCTTTCTACATTATTTCAACTCTTTTGTCACTGACCATATTTTTATTTATTCATTGTTCAAACACATAATCATTAGTAAAAAAGGGGCACCAAACAGATATGCACCACACAAGTCATTCGATTTGTGCGAGGGTTAGGGTACTAGCCGGGTGCCCAGACCGAAGCAGGTAGTTTTCTTAGGGGGTCATACCCGGAGACTTTGGCTTAAAGGTCTGATCCACAAGACAGTGGAGCAACGTAAGGAGATGCAGCCCCATAACAGCCAGTGTCCAGCGACAGGTTTATACGCTATTTGTTCCCTCAGGACACTGGAGCCCATGTGCACCACTGGTTTAGAATCAGGGTTTTCCAACTTCCCTAGATGGATCCTCTGTATCCATCCACTGATTATATTAATTTTGTCGAGTTAGTGTTATATAACAACTTTGGCTACTACATATATTTTTCTTTATCTTACAATTAGTTGAATTATCAATTAGAAAATGAAAATTATTGAAAAATCAATACATGAACAACTTACATGCATTACGATGATCTAACTGTTCAACAACACAATCATAGTCACGTCCACCAGAAAGCTGATAATGAAAAAAACAACGGAGATATGCATATTGATAAAAAATTTCTTATTTCAAATGTCTGAGAACTTCCATGTACAAGAACGAAACAACCGTCTAATGTTTCCAAAGTAGCCAACAGTGGTCTAACTTCAATCAGTTCACGAAATCAAAAAAATTGACTAAATAAAACATGTACTTGTAACAGGATTATTCTTTTACATATATATCTATTTAAGACAGATGATAACGCTCAATGGCAGATAAGTGAATTGAAAGAAAACATGATTCAAGATTGATAACCGTGAATTTATCAATTAATTAGCATTTTCAATTAAAAATGTTCATGATAAGTGATTTTTAAAATTATCGGTAGATAAACATCATTATACCCTTACTACGCCTGAGAATTGAATTTGTACGATAGTGTCACATAGAGTTTTTAGTTTACTAATTAATTGACAACTGTTTACTGGTTACTACCTTTAAACTATAATGATATATTTCAGTATTAGCTGTTACGTTTGAAAATATTACAATATCATGTAAAACTGGCGAACGGATCGGAAATTATCAACACAATAACAGGAAAAATCAAGCTATTTCCACTACGCCCTAGTATTGGTACCTAGAGAAAAATCACCAGATTCAACCGAGGGAAATCGTGTATTCCACAAGTAGTCGAAAGCACAAACAAACAACCATACAACTCATGCGTATACATACAGTACAAAACGTGTACCGAAAGAGGAAACAAACTAATGACATTTAAGGTCCTTCCAAGTGGAAAATACAAATTGAAGGTAAATGTGGGCGCTTCTGGAGCGAGGATGAGAAAATTATTTTTTTTTACGATAAAATTACAAAAATGAGACGTTTATCAGGGGATTTCTGTGGATCTAGTATCCCCAACACTAGCTCAATTACCAGATACAGATTCATGTACTTGGCTTTGAGATAAACAATAAATGTGGACGTTAGTGATACGATCTGGCTGCTTAGGTAGAAGCAGGCGGAACAGCGTTCAATCTTGTAACTTAGTGGCTAAAAGTCGAATGCATTAATCACGAAGCCATCATTCCATTGTTATGATCCAGATCATGTGCCCCATAATCAATCGATTAGGTTACCAGATTTCGGTGTTAGTAGAAGTTTTATCACCACTTTTTGCATTTGGCGTTCCTGAATTCATATGGACAACAGATACACAATTAAATGAGTATCATTAGTTAATGTTATGTAAGACTATCAGCAAATAGTGTAATGACTGACTAGGATTTCAAACTGTCACGAATCTGTATAAAACCACTCAACTTGCTCCACAAATCCTTTGCTCTGGTTAGGGTTAGGAACACTGATAAGTGTCTCTAGGATTTAAATAGTTGTCCAAGATCATGCTGTGATCTAAATAATGAAACTCAAGAACCGCCACTAACCCCTCATAGTAATGATCATTGTGTGCTCACTAGTGACTAATTTTGAAAAAAGTAATGCATAAAGTTTTAATGAGAAGCCGTAATAAGAGTAGTTAAAGCAGGTCGGATGGGAGACAGTTACTCAAAAATGGAATTGGATAATGGTTACGCAAGATGATGAAATGAGTAAGGTTACAAATGTAAACCCACGTGGTTTAAACGTTAAGCTCTGGCCATATCAAACGGGGTCATTGATGAGCACTGCTGAGAAGTTCCATACTAGGAGGAAATAGTCGTCTAGTGTTTCCTGGTTCTCAATTGATATATTCACTAGAAACAATCTGTGGTGTAAACAATGAAACTCTATATCTAATTTCATTGATCACTATTCATATTCAATTGAGATTTTTCTAACGAAATAGTACATTATCTCAACGGGAGATTTACACAAGATGATACAAATTGAAACCCAAATTAGTGAACTGTGAAGGTCAATATATATGATAAAAAAAAACATAATTACCTGACACATTTTTAAACAAGTCATTGCTGCATTCTCATCTGGAAATACAAATAATAATTCGACACCAGCTGTTAAATGAGCGAAACGAAAACAACGAAACTTTGACCGACTACTAACTTCATCATTCATATTGACATTATTATTAGTAGTAGTAATAGTATTACTTTGGAAATCTAATGTATGCGACTTATAACAATCATTGAGATCTGATAAAATTTGTTGAGATAGACCAGAAACATGAGGATCCATCCAATCAGGATTTATTCCACTAGTATTATTGTTATTAATACCACTGGTTATTCGTGAAGTTAATGTTTGAGTACTGTTACTACTATGATTTGAATTACAACCAAGAGGTAACCAATTAGGGAAATTGGCAGGCAATTGTTCTGAACACCAAATAAGACCGGGTATCGGAAGAATTAAACACGATGCATTACAGCTAAATGATTTATTAACATTAATAGTATTGTTTGAACAATCCATATCGGTATTGTATGTAGGATAATAATATGTAATAGAATCATCATTTAAATCATCATGAGATTTAGAGGTATCCAGTGTTCCCCGAGAAGTATAATTATCACGAAGATTACCCAAACTATTATTTCTTGGATAGATAATATCATTTTTACTTTTAGAAGTCTATTGTTTACAAAATGAAAAAAAAGACAATTTAACTTGTTTAGGATAGAATAAATACAATTGTAATTACAAACGGAAGAAATTACAACTAACCATAGAAATATTTCACTAGTTGAAATCATGAATCAATCGAAGCTAGACCACCATAGAAAACCTGGAAGCACTGGATGGCCGTTTCATCCGAGTATGGGACTCCTCAACAATGCACATCCACGATCCCGCCCTCCGCGAGATTCGAACACAAGACCTATCAGTCTTGCGCGCGAGCGCTTCCAGGTTTTCCATGGTGGTCTAGCTTCAATTGACTCATGATTTCAACTAGTGAAATTCCTAAAATCTCCACAAAACCCCTACTGATAATAGAAATATTTATTAATAATTTAGATGGATATGAGGCAGAATGGCAGTGGTATTTAACAACTAAAAGAAACAAATTATAACTTTATGTAATGGTATGTATTTCCTCACTGCTGAGATTAAAGACAAAACGTTTTACCCGTCTATATTCGACAATAGATTGTGAGTGATTTGCTTTGATATTGTCATTTACCCATAAGTTTTTGGTAAAAAAAAAACACATTGTGGATTGACTAAAGTTAAATATTACTAATGTTGTATACCGACTAAGTTGTTTATAGGATAAACGTATATATGAGAAACCGAAAATTCTGACTTCAATATCCGAATGCGAGGTTGTGAATGCGCATTGTTGACGAGCCCAATATTAGGACGAAACAACCGTCCAATGTTCAAGGTATTTAACGGTAATCAAACTAATAACAGTCCATAATTTAAACACATGAAAAAAATAATAAACTGTTGCTACAAACATTCTATTGTATAAAAGGAGAGAGAAAGAGTTGATATCATTTACAATTTATCTCTTTCAAACCAAATACAATAAGATAAGATTGCTTATTCGACGATATTTTACAAGTCAGGATTAATTTTCAATTACTAGTAAACATTCCCATAAAAAAAAAGTGTGTACTGTTTAATTTTAATGGTTCACAATATATGCTCAGTCTCATTTCACAGTATTCTTTTTTATCTCCATCATATTAGTGCAAACTAGAATGAAGTAAGATAGGTTCTATGCAATTAACATTATAATCTACATAGGATTATCTAACATTGTATTACATTTTTGAATACATGAACTGAATAATTATCACAGTCTACATGAAGATTATCTGATTCATGTAAAAACTAACAGTTGGTAACATTGAATGGAATGATTCAGAATCCATCGCATTAGAGAAAATACATATTTTTTTTCAACAACAACAAAAAATACTCTTTATCTACCCTTTGACCCTTTGTTTCAAAGTTATCTTATACTTTATTTCGATGAAATTGTGTTTTCTTCCCGAACTATAATGTGTATGCTTAATCTTTTCTACTAGCAATAACAGTGTTATTATTTCTATCATTCTTCTATCTGGCTGTGATGATCTCATGTGACCGCTTGAACCAATACACAAATATACTAGGTTCTACGTTAAGTCTCACTGATCAACCGACCAATCTTTACACAAGTAGATTTCAGTAAACAAATGAATGTATATTCAAATCATTGTTATACAATCCTATCAATTATTACGAGCTTAGTTTTTCGGCTTGAAAAAAAACCAATCTATATAGCAACAGTGATGTGATCCAATTTATAACCAATTTGCACATATTTCACAATAAATTAAGTAAACCCCTAAACAGCAATCAATAAATTTGACTATGAAAAACATTGGTTAAAAGGCAAATTTAAACTGTGAGCCGCAATCTCTGTTATGTCGATGTATGATTCTATGCGAAAAAGAATAAATTTAATATGTATGTAGAAAATTTGTAGACAATATGTTTATATATAGGCTCGGCAACTATGTATATTACATAATCGTTTTCGGAGGCTTGGTCATAACCTATGTCAGTGCCATGTTAGTGAACCTGATGTCAGACAATATGTGATTGGGCACAGTGATGATAATTCAGTTATCATTTCGGTGCTTTGGTCAAGTTTAACAAATATAATCCCGATGGCTAGCGTATTGTACATTAGTTGCAAACAGTGGACGGAAGAAGATTACAGATAGTCATTTTATGACATGAAGCTGGGGATATGAAAGAAAGCTTTATCTGACTGACATCTGTTGATCTATCATAACTCCCTGATCGAAGTCCTAAATATGGTGTGATTTAGTGGCCTAAGATGTTATCAAACGTGATTTACATTAGAACCGAGTAGAAGTCATGTTACAGTTCATTTTTAAATAAGTGATCAGAACCAGCTTGACTGAAAGTTTTACTTGATTGCATTCTTAACTGAACAGTATCGTCCAAATACTTTTACCATCCATTTCTGTAGCAAATGTAATATTTTGGTACCTGATTCTAACAGACTTTAATTGTTTTAAATAACATTAAAAAATACCAACGTTCATATCTAATTTTTATCTGATTATGAAGTGATAAATTGAACTATTAGATCATATTGCAGATTGCGCAACAGTAGAAAACTTTACTAGGCAGTATTACATCATATTCCTTAATTTATTTGAGCAATGTACTCTGGATAAGCCTTTACAACAATTGAACGGAATCGATTGATGGTTATTTAGTGCTCAATGTGGTTTAATACCGAATGAGATCTACATGAACGAGTTTTTTTTATCCAAAGTTGACTGATTTGAATTTAAACCAAATAAACCTCACAATGATAAATATATTTTTTATATCCCAATGAATAGAAAAATTATATTTGTGACATTTCGTGACTTAATGTAAGTCACTTCTTCAGAGTGCTACCAAATGCCCTGGTACGGCTGAGAGTGAGGAGTCCGCTCTCCCTCTCCAAATGCTCTCTCATGGCCGCGTACATACAACCATTTTCAGGGAAGTCCTACTCACTGCTTTCTCGCACCAACGGTGTTGTTTACGAAATTGAGAGGACGGAAAGCGAATGTCTGGAGCTTAAACCGGGTTGGTGGACATGGACAGTCCATCTAGGGGAGTTGGAAAACCCTCATTCCAAACCAATGGTGCACATGGGTTCCAGTATCTTGAAGGAACAAGTGGCATATGAATCTACTGTTGGTCACCGGCTACCATGAGACTGAATCTCCTTACGTTGCTCCATTGCCTTGTGGATTAGACCTTCATATCGAAGGCTCGGGTGTGGCCCCCTAAGAAAACCACCTGTTTCGGTTTGGGCACCCGGTCAGTATCACAACCCACATACAAATCAAGCATATATCCATTGGATGCTCTTTTGTATTAATATCTATGCGTTAAAATAAATAAATAAACTTCTTTAGAGTAAATAAATAACCGAACTTAAATTAACACCATTGAATTCACGAGTTGATCTAAGTTAAACCATCATTAAAATCCTAAAAGCATTGGACTGTTGTTTCGTCCTAGTATGGGACTTGTGTAAATTTAAATTCGGTTATTCATTTACACTGAAGAAGTGGCTTACATTAAGTCACGAAATGTTAGAAATATATATATTTTTTCTATTCATTGGGATATAACAAAAAATATAATATGGATTAATAACTATCAAGTTCAACTTTGGCAATGATACCAATACATTTTACAATATTGTAAAGATTAATTAGTTAATAAGATATAAGATAGACAAAGATTTGAAAACCACTACACGAAAATAAAACTGAACACAAAAAAAAGAGAAAAGAAAACAGACATTTGTACTAAATCAACACTAGTAATTATATAAACAATCAACTTAGACGAACACTTAGATGCAATAATAAAGAAATATTACGCAATATCATTCCAAATTCATTAATCTGTTGATACATATATGCACACACTGTTTTAGAGAATACGATGGAAACCATTCTTGGTAAACAAAGGTTATACAAGGTTATCGAGAATTATTCACATAAAACTGTTTGTTTATTTAATTACCACAGAGTGGGTTGGTGGGTGATTGTGTAGGGGTAGGGGTAGAGGTGGGGGTGAGCGGATGTATGAGCAACACGTACAAACAGATCGATTGATTTACAATATTTAAAAAAAAAAAACACTGAACTTGATAATTATCAATTCTGATTATTAACTAATGAATAATAATGTTTATCACACAATAAAACATTGTACTCAGGAATTAAGATGAAATGAACACTGACAAATAGATAAACAAATAGACATACATATATATACACTTGTGTGTAACCTTTAAAATATGATATACATTGGAATAAACTTTATGGATTTGTTGAATAATTACCATTTAAAATAGGACAAGAAGTTAAACATGTTGAACGGATTAACAGGAATACACATGATTCATGCAGTACAACAATGTCAAGAAAATAGTAAGTTAGATTGCTTACGTAATTAGACTAATATATAAATATATATATAGCAGTTAAGCACTTGGTGTAAAATTCACAGTGAACTGGTGCCATAGTTTCCTACATTCGGTCGCTGACATTGTGTGTGTATATCTGTGTGCACTATTAGGAGTCATGATTAATTGGTGAAACTATAATTTATGGACGACCTTTGTGCGACACTAAAATGATCTTGAGAATGCACACCTACTTACTAGGGCTAAATGAGGTAAATAAAGCAATGCGAGGAATTGGAATTATGACATACAGTTGAAGTTTAGGATTAGAAAATAGATTTAGGGTTCTCATCACGTGCATACAACCACTGCCAGGGAAATCTTACTCACTGCCTTTTCTCGCCACGGGTGTTGTTTACGAATTTGAGAGGACGGAAAGCGAATTTCCAACGCTTTAACCGGAGTCCATCTCAGTACGTCAGTAACAACGTTGAACTTCGTACGTACGTACATCAGTTCGAGTTGCCACATCACAACTCATTAGTCCGTGTTGTTGATATGAAATATAATTCCACCAAAAAAAAACAGAGCAAAATTTAGAAACGAACACAGTCGAACATCAACTTTGTTGTGGATCATCAATCAGAAATAGGTGAACACTGATAAAATGAAAAAAATTTTCAAAAAAAACCACTGAAGTTTAGTTAGATCGGATCAGATATTTAGTAAGGGTGGAACTCAGAGCTATTCTTCGGAGAATTGTTTTCTTTTCTTTATTTATTGTGACAATACAGTACAATAATCCAAGGAAAAGCCTGTTTACTCTATTTGTCTTCTTATTAAACACCATGAGATATAAGGTGCTTACGAAGCAATAAACACCAGGATTCTGAGGTTATTGAATCATTGGGTACGGTGAAAGATCATTAGCTTTAAAAGGCATGTAAGTGAACTATAAAATCAACTTAGACTAATCATTATTAATTTAACAAATGAAATATTCATTTACAGCAGTAAATTCATACAGCTAGTAGAACTATTGAATAATAACTAATTCTGTTTAAACAAACGACTGATTACTCACCACTTACTCAGATTACATTTACAAAGTACTATATGGATAAAGACAAGTAATTTCTTTTTCTTTCAGTTTTGTATTATAAAAACAAAACAATTGAATAATTATTAGTAGTCTAGAGAATAGTATTTCACAATTAAATGAATAGATTAACCAATGTAAGATGTTAAAATGTTTCTGCATAATTAAACTGAATATATATATATATATATATATATATATATATATATTTGACCTCTTTCTCGATATCGCTAATGTCAAGAGGGTAACATCATAATTACATACAGTCTTATATGTGATAAGATTAATGAGTGGTAGAATTTCAATCAGAATCATTCAAGCCAGTGACATAATTTGTTTTACTAAAAGTTAATGAGATCGATAAATAGGAAAATACAATACAACTGGTAGATAATGAAAATCCTATACGGAATTTTTATGGAAGCTACTTTAACACTAACAGGCTACATTAAATTACATATAATGAATAATGAACGATTTATATGTGTAAACGATTCACCTACTCTATACTAGATGCTCGACCAACACTATTATACCAGGGGCTCGAATAAAAAACAAGTGGTTCTACTGACCAGTACATGTATTCGCCAACAATCAAGTATAAGAATACGGATAAAGAAATATATGAATGACATATCAAATACTTAACAGACTATCTATAAGTCTGTGTCTAGGTCCTTCAGGAATCCCTTGGTTGAGGTCCGAGAGATGGTGTAACACAGTGGCTAATGAGGTTATCAGATATGGCTTAGAATAGAAGCCAGTGGCGATCCTGCTGTAAACGTCTTTTACTTTCTTCATAAAACGTGACCGTAACTTCTTCAACTGAGAGAATTCTTTCTGGTTGTACCTTCCTGTTTCCCCCATTATTATTACTATTTCACTACCATACACTAATTTGTGGTCGTTATCGTTCTTTTTTTCGTTTTACACGCACCTTACATCCTTTATCTCTTCCCATTCTCATTATTATTGTGTGGCGTAGTATATGTATCTGGTGCCCCCCCTTGTACCAATATTCATGTATTCAAATAAATAAATAAATAAATAAGGAAAACAACTAATCACAATATTTTATCAACCACACAACACCTAATTGATCAGTTTGATTTAGCAACGCATTTTACAACCAAATACTCAATAAATCGAGAATATTAACTTCGAAAGTTATTCAATTTGTATATTACAATAATACATTGATTAGTTTAAATACTAGAAACATAATAGTATTGAACAAATATCCAACTTGGTGTGAAGAACTTTAATAGTGTTCATATCACGATTCTGCTTGGGGGTTACAGTGAGTACATTACAATTTCCGATCATTGAGTTAGTATCCGACAGTTGTCCAGTTGAAGTCAAATACAAATCTTGACAGCAGCTACCACTTTGACCTGATGGTGAGGTTTGCCTATTATAATGACCCAATAGAGTTATATAAACTGCTACAATTGTTTCACTAGTTTCTACTACGCTAGACGGATCAGACTGAAGTACAGTGAGACTAAAGCCATAAACTTAAGTTTCGGAGGTGAAATTTTACTGCTAACTGTACTGAAGTGATATAAAAAAGGTATTTCCTTCACACAACTGGCATTTTAAGAGATGGTAACTCACAACGTAAGAAAGGAGTTGGAATATTTCGATCCTAATAATAGCAGACGTGACCTTAATCACACAGATTTACGTCTCCAGTAGTAGGGCCTAAAAGTTAAAGAACTAATACATTAAGAACTAAGAAAAAAATACTATTTGAGATCGACCTCAAAACATTGACTGTCGACAACAAATCGACATTAGTCAAAACAAACATAGAGAACAAGCTTACTGATTCAAATCAATTTGTTCTTGATCAGAAAAGGAAAAATAAACACTGAATAGGATAGAATCAGTTACTTACTTTGGTTGTTCGTCCAGACCCATGAAATGCCCAAGATGCTTTGATAAATCTCACTTCAGCACCAGATACTCGCATGTAATACGGTTTCCATGAATAAGATTTATTATCCTTTATTTTTAAGAAATGCAATCATGGGTAAAATAAGACCCGATATAGTTTTGAAATCAGAAAGAAGCTTATACTTACAAGAATACTTAATAAACCATCTTTCAATCCAATGAAACAATTCAGTATGCAACTACTCCTAGTTAAAGTATCCGTAACTCTTCGTCATTAGTGAAGCAATCTCATTCTAAACCTTCTCTTGATATGGATAACTTTACCAGTAAATTTTACAGACTCTGGCATAACATATTACAATCTGTCAGTGACATAAAACCACTCCCATCATTTATTCACTGCATCGATGCTTAATTCTCGTCTGAAAATGACTAAGATCTGTATCCGATTCCACAGTTGAGATTATGGGAACTTTAAATGTCGTGGTTTTAATTACTGAGTGAACAAAGAAAAAATCAACCCTTTAAAAACAAAATTGCTCCACGTACCATTAGAACACATTAACCACAATACACAATACTATCTTTTTTAAAAACATCTTGTTCATAGTTGATAATTCAAAGATCCACTAAGTAAACAATGACAAGAACTTAGAGACATGAAAGTATTACATCATTATTCAATTTTCTGACTGAATACAAACAGTGTATCTGACGAGATGAAAAAAACTACCAATTTTAGTTACTAATCGTAATATTTCCCTAATCATATTACCAGAAAGTACCTTTTATCACACTTGATTTACAATAGATTACCATAAAGTTAAATTTGTTAATATTCTGCATACTGTATGTTGTAACATTTCAAGTTGTTCTGTTTCTTTCATATAATTCATTTTCTCATTGTTGAAGTATTTCTTTGAATGCCAGCTGATGTGATCTACCTCATTATAGAACTTTTTAAGCAATGATAGAAAGTGACTAGCAGTGGAAACCAAGACGCGCGTTTCGTCCTATTTGAGACTAGTCAGCTGTATGTACCTGCATCTCAGAGTCGATGTTCACTCCGGGACTAGAACCCAGTACTGTTCGCTTCAAACGCCATCGCGTTCTCCACTTAGCTACTAATTCCTGATAGCCACCTACTTGTGCAATGGGGTGAAGTTTAAATTCACTTGGTGTTGCTTTACTTGAATCTTCCCATTGTTATTTTGGACTATGAATGATCAGTCTCTTATTGGCATATGTGCATTCTGTGCCAAATGCCTCGATACTGTCACTAAGTCATAAGCATTATAAGCAAAGATGGATGATGACTAGCAGTGGAATCTAAGAAGCTAATGGTGCTTGGTTCGAGCCCCGTGACGAATATAAACTCTGAGATGTAGGTACATCCAATTGACAAGTCCTAAAGTAAGAACGAAACATGAGTCCTGGATTCCAATGCTAGCCATCATTCATCTTTTCTTAAAAAGGCAATGTTTAATTAGTATACACTAAAGTTATCTATCTTAATACTAGTAATTAACCATTGGTTCAAATATGTATTCAATTCATATACAAATAAATAGAATGTAACATAAGAAAACTTACAGATCCACCGATAGCAAGAATTTTGCAAAAACATTGACGTGACAAAAATGATCCAGACATATCACATAGTATATTCTATGAAATGAAAAAATAAATTAACAACAACGAAAGAATAACTTAATAATTTCAAAAGATAAATATGAATATGATTAAAAGAGGATAATTAGTATTTCACATTGTATATCATTCCCTGGATAGAATATTGAAAAAGTTAAGGTAAATTAGGTGTATTTCAATGATTACTTTTTTAGATATCTACTAATCATTCATAATTAATGTGAAGTTAGATAAAAATGTGAATTGACCCAAATTGTTAACATCATTAAATCAACATAGTAAGATAGAATTAGAATAATGAGAAGCAAACAATTTGAAATCAGTGAGTCAATCAACGACGTAGAACTTCGTACGTACGTACATCAGTTCGAGTTGTCATACAACATTAGCACAGAGATACAATTGTCGATTCAAATCCCAAAATGGTAGAGGTACTAAAAGTATAACCAGTAATCGGAAACATTAGGGTTTGAAGAAGTTATTCAAGTAGTATAATCCAGTGAAATATATTTAAAAAGAGAAAAAAAGAGACAAGGAGAATTCTGGTGATTACAATTTGGGAGAACACAAAGAGTGTATGAACCTGCGCCATTGCAAACGATTTTGAGCCATGTCATTCAAGGTCTCTAACCATCGGTTGCTTTCATCTCGCGGATAACAACAAGGTAGTCTACACCTACCCACATGGCTTAGTCCATTTGTCATTGACTTCATGGATTTGTGCCATGTCTGGCCGCCTCTAGATTTCCTCCATCCTACTTCTACACCATGAAAACATCGCACAGCGGGGCAGTCGGTGGTTATAAGAAACAGTAAGTGGATGAACCAGTTAGAAAATATCCGTTATAAATAGATAAGTTATGGGGACGAAAACAACGATGATAATAATATTACACATTGTAGACAAATTTAACTTAGTTAATGAACTTAATTCAGTACTCTATAAATTACAAATAAACAATTGTATATAAATTTGTCTTCAGAAACCAAATAAATCTTTTAAGCAGTATCTACATTGTTTTTTTTTAGCTAGGATCACAATTAGGGGTTTCAGATTACAAGCTTTATTACGAACTAACATCAAAATACATTATTATTAAACTAGTTGCCTTAGGGTTAAACGTTTAAGACATAAGGTCTTAAGAATAACAACTGAAGAATCAATAAGTTTAACACAATCAACTACAACTTTCTCAGTACTATATCAGCTTATCGCTACTATTATTCACAGTACATGAAAGTCGATCGTTGAACAAAAACCTAAAAAAAACACTCCGCAATGCTGATTAGTTTACCCCTACATATATATGATACTTTCATCGCTTGACCTTGTATTTTGATTTCAAATCATTCAAAGGTTTACGTCAATGGTTCAATCTCTTGAGTAGCTGCTAATCATTCGATCACGAAACGATGTATCATTCCATATCCTTTATCGATTATTCAGAAATTGACTTTGTTTGTTCAAATCATTTACAGTCTACATTATAACATGATTATTTTTAAAAAAAGATCAAAATGGAACATATCAGCGATGTATTCGCAGTAGATTTTATTTATTTCAACACATAGATATTGGTACAAAGAGGCACCAAATACATATGCGACACACAAATCTCATTCGATATGTGTGAGGGCTGTGATACTACTCGGGGGCCCAAACCGAAGCAGGTGGTTTTCTTAGGGGACCACACCCCGAGCCTTCGACCTGAAAGTCTGATCCACAAGGCAGTGGAGCATCGTAAGGAGATGCAGTCCCATGGAAGCCGGTGACCAACAATCGGTTCATACGCCATTTGTTCCCTTAGGATACTGGAGCCCATGTGCACTATTGGTTTGGAATCCAGTTGTAGTGCCGGACATTCGCTTTTCGTCCTCTCATTTTCGTAAACAACACCCCCGCCACGAGAAGGCAGTGAGTAGGACTTCCCTGGCAGTAGATTGGCATTGAGTTTAAAGTATTTAGCTTACTTATTCCACATGATCGTTATAATAGTTAATTAAAATGATTAGATACTTATCAATTTTCATAATGGTACTTAATTGCTATTAGATTTGTATACTTTTATGTGACTTAAATTTTTAAATTGTATTTTAGTCAATTATGATGTATTGCATTTTGTTTCTAAGTAAATTTTTTTTTAAAAAATTGCTTCAATGAGGGGGATCGTGCAGTGTCTAACGAAGGTTGCTATGTATATTTTTTCTGGATCATAGTGAATGGCAGTATTATTTGTCATATCGTCTATCAAGGTGTTCATTGAATTCTAAAATACTTTCAATTTATCATACATTAAACTAAATGTAACTAGATTTTATAATGGGGTAATAGTTGACAACGAAATAGATAAACAATCTCAAGTACTCGATATTTATATATCTTGCATTAATAATAATAATAAATGAAATCAACCATGTACATAAGTATATATGTTTCATATTAACAATACAGAATTGAGCATAGATTTGTGAAGATTGTTGACTTCTAACTTAGATCGTGAATCAATCAATGGTGATCCAACATTGATCGGTTTACGATCACAATGCATATTTACTCCTATATAGTTGAAATTTGCAACAAAACAGGTCTTCAAAATTGGTTGATTGATGGAAACAGAAAACGCATACTTATTCATAACACCATATATATACATATATTTGAATAAACTATGTTAACATTGAGATTATGTGTAGCCCCATACACAAAATCAATACAGAATGAAATCGCTATAACCGTTGTAAACATAGTAACTTTTTGTAATTAAGTAGTTTTGAACCATAATTGGATGTGTACTGAACACAAAACTGTAAACTTGATTTTTACTGTTAAGGTAAGTCAGAATTAAGGTATTATGAATATTGATTTTTCTTATGGTTGGGGATATGTAATACTAAGTTTAAAGTAGTAGAAATAGTAAGAGAATTACGAGTCGTAAAAGTGATTATGTATACACCATAAAACTTGAAAAGGAAGGATAATTTTACGGTATACAAAAAAAAAAAATAAGATCGTTGTGCTAATCAATCAACAACTACAGTTTCGCAGAACAAAGAGAAGACGAGGTTGGTTTGAAAAAAAGGAAGTATTTGCTCTATACATTTCGAACCATTTGGTCACACGTATACAAGTCAACACATTTTATAGGATAATTAATAAAGGTCAATGAAATGAAAGTACAGGTAAACAAATAAACAAATGTATAGAGTAAACACAGCAGGTTTTCCAAATCAACTCCGTCTTATCATTGTTCTATTGAAATTTATGAAAGGGACAAATCGCTCTAACTTTAAGTTTATTTCGTTTTTAGACACCTATGCGAAATTAACCTACTATAACCGACAGTTAACTATACAATAGTCTAGTTAATAATTACACGTACATCAGTCATTAAGTGATAACGCCGACCTTGATACCTAAATATATCGGTTGCCATACCATTTTTGCAAAAACAAATGAGATTTTAAGCACAATTCCCACAACAGTAGAAGTAGTAACAATATACGAGCTAATTGAAAACACTACACATCGAACATACCATTCGACAAGAAAACATAAATAAGTGATCTAAAAACAAAAGAAAACTCATGAACAATTCATTATCTTAGAATTGAGGGGAGAAGAAAAATAACTGATGCACCTGAGCGATTCAAAACGATTTTGAGTCAAGTCATCATTCAAAGTTTCTAATCACTGGTTGCGATGATCACGCGAACCACAACCAGGTAGTTTACACTCATCAACATGGTTCAGTCCAATTGTTGACGATTTCACGTTTTCGTTTCCCTGACCCTAGTTTTCTTCCAGTCTACTTCTACACCGATAACATCCAACCGAATTGGTAAGTAGAGAATCTACCTGAGGGAGTTAGAAAACCTCGATTTCAAACCAATAATCTAAATGGAGTACAGACCCATATTTGGTCACTAGCTAATATGACAAGACATCTCTGACGCCGTTCTACTGACTTGTGGATTAGACCGATATTGCGTAAGTCAAACCACAAACAACAGACAAAAAACGTCGATACAAATAAGGATTTATAACTTTAAAAAAATTTTTAAGTGTGATTACTGGAGCTTCTGACAAACCTTCCCATAATAATAATAATAATAATAATAATAATAATAATAATAATAATAATAATAATAATAATAATAATAATAATTATTATTATTATTATTATTATTATTATTATTATTATTATTATTATTATAGGAACAAACTCCATAAAATCGATTCATTTCACTTTATAACCTTGAAGTTACAAATAGATATCAACTACAAGTACACACACACACAGACACACGGATATTTTGCGTCAGTATAACTAATTGAAGAGGGGCTTTGTGGATATCATAGTAATTTAATAGTTGAATTCATGAGTCAATTGAAGCTAGATCACCATGGAAAACTTGGAAGTAATAATTGGTTTGTTTTAAGAAACAAATAGCGATTATTTGAGTAAGAAGTACGAACCAATTAACAATGTGTACACAAACAATACAGAGCAGGAAAATGATAAATTCTAATGTTTCAAAGTGATAATCAATTACTTAATACTTTTGTGAGCTATTCAAATAATAAGAACATAGAAAAGAGACTGATTAATAAAAGACTTAAACATCAATGGGAAGATTTAAACAACCACTACAAGATGCAGTAAACTTCACCCCACTGCACGACCTAGTGGTTATGTGGCTCCCAAAGGCCCTGGTACGATCGAGAGTGGGGAGAGTTAGCTCTCCCTCTCCAAATGACCTCACGTGGTCACGCGCAAACATCCAATGCAAGGGAATTTTTATTACTGCTTCCTCAAACTATGTGTGTTATTTGCGAAACTGAGAGGACGAAAAGCGAATGTCCGGAGCTTTAACCACGTTAGTGGATATGGATAATCCACCTCAGGGAGTTAGAAAACCCTGATTCCAAAACAATGGTGCACATGGGTTCCAGTATCCTGATTGAAGAAATGGTGCATGAATCTAATGTTAGTGACCGACTACTATAAGAGTGCATCTCCTGACGTTGCTCCACTTCCTGGTGGATCAGACCTTTAGGTCAAAGGGTCAGGGTGTGGCTCCCTAAGAAAACCACCTGCTTTTGTTTGGGCACCCGGGAAGAACCACAGTCCACATACTAATCAATTGTAACTGCTACTGGAATCATTGTTATTTTGTGTGGCGCATATGGATTTGATGCCCCCCTTGCACCAATATCTATGTGTTAAATAAAAAATATATATAATGGTTATATGGACTCAGTAGTAAAGTCAATAACACAAAGAGGTTTTAAGTCAACGATACTGAATTCGAGTCCAGAATTGAACATCAACTCTAAGATATGGCAAGTACATCCAACTAAAGACAAGTCACAAATAGGACAAGACACGCTTCTTGGATTCCAGTGTTAGCCACAACTATTTATTCAAATGACTGAATGAATTGATAGTTTGATAATTTTATGTAATAGTCTTCCCCTCATATAAAGATAACAAAACAATAAAAGATTTTTAGATTGACTAATAGTAGTATGATGTCTAATGACATGAAACCTAGTCGAATGTTGAAATGATTAACTAGATATATATACACCATATAATAGATTATATTGTAACATTAATGAGCTTTACAATACACTACTATATATTTGTATAACTCTATATTGACTAGTCAATGAATGTTAAGATAAAACATTTTGTAATAAATTAATAAATATGATAAGTTTAAATAGAAATAATCCTATTCGGTATTACTATCATTCGTAATTACAAAGAGGTCAAGGTAATATATATAGTTTATATTTAATGGAATTCCAAAGTGTGATCAAAATGATCAAAGTCGATTATGATAAAATAGAGAAGGAAAAAAGAACAGATCATTATGTTAAATTTATATAATGATTTGTCGTCAAGACTATAATTTAAAGACGAACCAATTAGGTATAAGATAACAGGTCTTGGATTTTGGCACGAAATTCATCCACTCATTTGGCTAAATAGAATTTTGGCATTATAGCTTATGTCACTTCGGATAAAAAAAAGCCTAAATCTAATTCCTAACCATAACTATCAACTGTAAATCATAATTCGATTCCAGCACATGAATCTGTAATCCTCATTTGGTCCTAGTTATTAGGTGGACACTCTCAAGGTCAATCTAGCGTCACTAGAAGATCGTCCGCAAATTATAGTCTCAACGATTTTTCTAGAAGTCATCTACGTTAGAGGCAACATAATACTTTCATATGATGAAGTATAAACACACGGACGGATGGATGGATGAAGTTATCTTGAAAAACATTAAAATATACTGAGACAAGAGAAATTCAAATGTTTAGATGTATTTTCATCCCAATCGGAAACTATTACACACTGTTCGAAGTGAAGCAAACTAAAAGTTGGCAAAGTATTCAGAAGAAAAATTAACGAGGAATATTGAGATATTGTTTACGAAGTACAAAAATACTTATTCTTGAGAGATATGAAAAGAAAGTTAGGTTAGAATTAATTTGAACTATGTAGCAGTGGGACCGGAAGGTTCAAGGAACAATTGCATTAGGCAGGTTAAGCATAGATTTCTTACGAGAAGTGTTTTATGAGTTAGCTTCGTATTTTTAGGGCTTTATGGACGACAAAGACAGAAATCCGTCTGATGAGGTGAGATGTGTTATTATTGTTAGGGTTGAACATTTGTAATTCCTTTCTTTTCGTTGTGAGAAAGCATCAACGTTACACATGCGGATTGTCTAAAGGAAATACCCCTGATTATTATTATATGCTCATATAGTCAGTAGTAAGACTGCAACCTCGAACCTTTAGATGTCTTTAATCTCACCGTTCTCCAACCAAATTGTGTAGCACGGTTACACTTAAAGGAACGAATGACCCAGACAAAAAAACTTGAATCGGTTATCACAACAGGTAAGCCTGACCGCCACGTATCAGGACAGCAGCTACGATTGGGAGCAAGAGAATATGACTGATCCAAGAGCAATCATGCACACAAGTACTTCCACTTGTTCCAATCAGCTTCTAAGACAAAATGTACACTATATCCTATAGTTTCATCTACTCTAATAACAAGAAAAAACTAAATTTCATAAACTACTTAATAATTTATGAAAATAAATTATATTGATATCAACCAATTTGTAGGCAAGAAAGCTTAAATAATTTCCTAAACTCAATTGAGAAACAGCTTTCCCATGGAAGTCAAAACAACAGACTTAAACAAACATCTCCATTAGACAGCGAAAGAAAATCAGAAAGCATTAGATGGCTGTTTCGTCTCAGTGTGCCACCCCTCAGTAGTGTGCATTCCACTAGAAATCGAATTCAAGATCCTTAAGTCAATAACAATGTGTGCAATAGTGATTAATTCCAACAAGTGACTATCTGAATTCGAGAATCCCGCATGTGAGGCGTTTTAACCAACAATCACATTCAAGTAGCGCCTACAAACTTCAATGGTTGTCTATAACCCAAAAAAAATACTGTCTTTATATGTACTAAAATGTAACGTATACACACAAGCGCCTAAACTTTAATTTGATAAATTCATATGCAAAGCAGGTTGGATGAAATAAATCGAGAATCTCAAAAACTCTAAACTTAAACGTTATTAACTGAAGGTCTCATCACAAGGAAGGCTATCAGTATCTATCAAGTTACAGAAAGATTTTGTACAGATTACCTAGTGAAAAACATAAACAATCAGCATTTCTTTAAACTAATGAAAAATGTTAAACACTAGAGGACACAATACATTATCATACCCTAAATCAATTTAACTTAGAATATCATTTTGTGAATCAAAATGATGGAAAATTAGAAAAGATAACGAGTTCACTATGGGATTAATTGTAGAGCGAAAATGAAACCAAAATAAGGAATAATTAAATGACCATTATGTATTCAGGAAAATTTATCTACCAATTGACTTACCGATTCTGAACGATGTGATCGTAGACCTGAGCATAAAGCACGAAACTGTAGGCGTTTTTTAGTCGAGTTCACGGTAGTATGATCACGACCCGATTCCGAACAATGAGAGCTGAAAGTAAACAAACAAATTCATAACATACGGCTGTCATAATTTTTCAATCTGCACTGAGTACCTTAGTGAAGCGTATAGATTACGGAACCCATACATAAAAAGAAAAAATTCAGACTTCTTGAACCGTATAATAAACTGAATCTACCAATAAATTCTGGTGAACAATGAAGAAATGGCGCCATGAACTAACATCGACTTCACTAAAAATCGAAAAGCAGAACAGTGTACATCTTATGTTGAGCGTAAAGACCACTGCATCAGATTCACTGTGTTCATCAATGATGCTGTCCAGATATGTGAAGGTCTTCACATCCTCAAAAGCTTCTACGTCAAGTGCAATCTGATTGGCGCATGTTGCATTGTATCGGAAAATCTTGCTTTTCCTTTTATGTATGTTGAGATCTGCTGCTTTACTGGTTGTCTTCTGCATTTGTTGTTGCGTATGCGATAGAAGAGCCAGATTATCTGCGAAGTCTAGGTCGTCCAGCAGCATCGTTGCTGTCCAGTCTGTCCTATCCTTCTATTCAGATGTTGAGGTCTTTACAATCCAGTCGATCACCAGGAGAAAGAGAAAAGGTCGGTCTTCACTTCGAACGAGTCTGTGGGCTGTCCCCCATGCACGAGTCTGCAGTTTAATCCATCATAAGGATTCCGTATGATGTTGACTATCTTCTCAAGCACGTCGTAGTGTCGAAGAAGCCTCCATAGTTTTGTCCTGTCCATACTATCAAATGCTCTCTCGTAATCAATGAAGTTGATGTAGAGTGGTGATCGACTTATGGTTTCACTGAGATTAAACGAATAGTTCGCCAATGCTATGTAGCGCATAATACGATTTTTATGTTCACTCTAGTGTATTATTTTAGGAAATTGGTATCATATACAAAAAGTATTTTAGTTGCCATCAGAAAAACATAGTTATATAATCCTTATTGATAATTCAAAAGTACCAGAATAAGGTCGCAACATTTAAAACTTAAGACACAATTTAATTATAAACAAATAATCAATACCTAATCACTTCTATGTAACACAAATATTTTGTTTTAACGGTAGTTTAAAAACTAATTAATTATAATGCCGGAAATAATTATGCCACTATCTGTTAATGGTAATCAGCTATCAATGAAATGTGTTTTTATGATTACAAGCCTTTTCATATAGACAACTGTCAAGAAAACTATAGCGAATGTACTTCAAACTTAAGAGTTGTGTCTAATGGAGCTCTGGTGAAAACAGATCATATTATAGGTAGTATGTAAGTAAACTAATAGTGAACGCCATTATGGCTTATGCTAATGTGGGCCATCTTTGGACTTTCGTGGTGTTAGTCTGATTGTAAAGGATCGGGTCTATAATCTGTCAGTCAGAGCAGTCTATGCTTGTGAAACCTGGCCTCTCCTACTTGACGATGTTAAGCGACATTCTGTGTTTGATCATCGTTGGCCTTGAACGGCTATTGATATCCAGTGAGAACACAATGTTAATGATGTGGAGATTCGGTAATGTGTGTTCGAGTAGAGACTATAATTCAATTGATGTCACTACATACAAACACCGACTTTAGTGGCCTGGACATATACTACGAATGTCGTCTCATCGAATTCCACATCCTTGTGTTATTTTCCAACGATGGAACTGGTTGGGAGAAACGGAGAGATGGTCAGTATATCTTATGACATGGTGTTGTCGTGGTATTAAAGAGAGCTGTACATGAATGGCTTCTGTTGATCCTTCACGACTCCTTGGTTAGGACCTCGAGATGGTGCGACACAGTGGCTAGAGATGTTTTCAGAAATGTTCCAGAATAGAAACCACCAGTGGTGATCTTGCGGTAACTTGCTTGACTTAAAAAAATTCTCCCTAGTTGTATTTTTCCCAACGACACTGCTTCGCCCATTACTATTATTATTGCAATTGTTGTCATTACTTCACTCATACACTAAATCCTATTCATTTTGGTTAGTTTTCTTGTGATTATGCTCACCTTTCTTTGTCTATTCACAACTTCATTTTTTGTGTGACGGATGCACTTATGTTGGTGATCCCTTTGTATCCGTGTTTATGTGTATAAATAAAATCAATGAATGAATACGTGAGAAGATTCAACATAAAAGCAGAATTGGATAGTGGATAGCAGTGAAACCCAAAACGAGCGTTTCGACCTATCGGGGAATCGTCAGTTGGATGTGCCTGCAACATCTTAGAGTAGATATTCATACTGAGACTCGGACTCGGTACTATTCGCTTCAAAGCCCATCGCGTTATCCGCTTAATGGCAATATCAAAGCAATACGTAAATGATGCACATATGTCAAACAAGAGACTAATCAATTGCAGGAGTAAATATCAATCGGAAGATCCAAACAACCAAAACAAATTAGAATGATAGTAGTTGATGAGTAGTCCATTGTTTTGGGAAGTTTTTGAACAAAGCTCAATTTTTTGGAAATCTAATTTCATTATTCTCTTATATCTTCTGGATATATTGATGCAAACAGTTTAACTGCACAAAATCTATCTTCACTGTGGCTTTATTGCAAATTCTCACAGTTACTAGTTATTTGTGAATTGTACTAGTCACTCTAGCCTTTTAACTTCACAACAAGCCACCAAATGCCCTGGTGCTGCTGAGAGTGAGGAGAGTCAGTCCTCCCTCTCGAAATGCTCTCACATGGCCACGTGCATACAACCACTGCCACACAAGTCCTACTCACTGACTTCTCGCACCACAGGTGCTATTTAGAAAATTGGGAGGACGGAAAGCGAATGTCTGGAGCTTTAACCGGGTTGGTAGATGTGGAGGATACACATAGGGGAGTTGGAAAACCCTCATTCCAAAACAATGGTGCACATGGGTTCCAGTATCTTGGAGGAACAAGTGGCATATGAATCTACTGTTGGTCACCGGCTACCATGAGACTGCATCTCCTTACGTTGCTCCATTGCCTTGTGGATTAGACCTTTAAGTCGAAGGCTCCGGGTGTGACCCCCGAAGAAAACCACCTGCTTCGGTTTAGGCTCCCGGAAAGTATTCCAGCACACACAGAAATCGAATGCTTTGTTTGGCGCATATCTATTTGGTGCCTCCTTGTACCAATGTTTATGTGTCTAAGTAAATAAATAAAAACTTTACAACACTATTGTCGCCTTGTTTTAACGTAGATCGAATTTATTAATGTGTTCTGGCGAACGAAACACCATTCTTTTGTTTTGGTATATTATTAATGAACTGAACAATCATTATTTACAGCATATGGTGATATAGTGATTTAAATAATTTAAACAACTCTCTCCTATAATGAAGTTCAATATAAGTGTAAACATTAAAAGTGTATGTCTCTTGAATTAAATTTAGATAGTTGAATTCATGAGTCGTTCTAAGCTAGACTACCATTGAAAACCTGGAAGCATTGAACGGTTATTTCGTGGATGTGCACTGCCTAGGAGTTCCATACTAGAACGAAACGGTCGTTAAGTGCTCTCAGGTTTTCAATGGTGGTCTAGTTTATATCGACTTATGAATTCAACTTTTAAAATGACTACAATCTCCACAAATCCCCATTCTGATAAATTAAGCTAATTCAATGAGAAGACGAAGTTAATTACAACTATGTGTAACATATTGATGCAGTGCACTTCGGAAAATAATTTAAGCATAGACAATTACTTATTCCTGACCGTAGAAGCTACTTTGACGCGGTGGTCGGGCTTGCCTATCATAACGACCCAACCAAGCCATAGGAAATCTAAAGCGAGGGGGAGCAACTGGCCCTAACAGATTTACTTCTGAAAATTTTAAGGATGGTGGTCCAGTATTAGCAGTGAGACTAACTGAGGTCTTAGGTAGAATTTGGGAACTGGACGTAATCCCATCTGACTGGTTTCAATCACTGATTGTGCCAGTTTTTAAGAAAGGACAAAAGTCCTCCTGTGACAATCACAGAGGAATCAGTTTGACTAATATAGTGTCTAAAATATTAGCTTCAATAATACTTCGACGCCTAATCAAAGCTCGTGAAGAACGGACTAGAGAAAATCAGGCTGGTTTTCGACCTAGACGTGGTTATTCACACTACATCATGTTCTAGAACATAGACACACATTCAGACGCCCCACAATGGTAGTACTTCTCGACCCTGAGGCATCATTCGACTCTGTTGATCGTGATGTTCTATGGCAGTGTTTGTCACTGAAAGGAGTACCAAAGAAGTACATTAACCTTATAATGGCTCTCTACTCGAACACAACTGGTAGAGTGAGAGCTTATGGCGAACTGTCATCAGAATTGATTACCTCAAGTGGTGTTCGTCAGGGCTGTCCACTCTCTCCATTCTTGTTTACCTTTGTCGTTGACGTACTTTTAGAGATGACACTCTCCTCATCTAAATTTACAGGGGTTGAACTTCTACCGGGAGGTTCACTTGTTGACTTAGAATATGCTGATGACATAGTTTTATTTGGTGAAGACGCTGACAAAATGCAGAGTCTTCTGACCACTCTAAGCAACAATGCAAGCATGTTCGGGATGCGATTCCCCCCCTCGAAATGCAAAATGTTGCTTGAGGATTGGGTGGCGACCGCTTCACTTATCTTGGAAGTCTCATCAGCCCTTGTGGTCTTGTATGTGACGAAATCTCAGCACGGATACAGAAGGCTCGACTAGCTTGCTTTTGCCAACTTGCGTCATTTATGGCGTAGGCGAGATATCCGTCTATCAACCAAAGAACGGGTTTACTGCGCAGCAGTTCGTTCCGTCCTACTTTATGGGAGTGAAACATGGCCGGTAAGAGTAGAGGATATTCGTAGGTTACTAGTATTTGATCATAGGTGTCTTCGAAACATTGCTCGTATATCCTGGGACTATCGAGTAAGTAACGCAGTTGTCAGGAAACGGGTACTAGGTAAGGATGGCAAATCAATTGATGAGTAGTGAAACTTCATCAGTTGAGATGGCTGGGACACGTGTTACGTATGGCCAACCGCCGACTGCCTCGACGTGCGATGTTCAGTGGTATAGGAGTAGGTTGGAAGAAAGCTAGGGGCGGCCAGACCAAAACATGGCACAAGTCCATGAATTCACTGACAAGTGGACTGAGTCATGTTAGTAGGTGTAGACTACCTGGTTGGGGACCACGAGATGACAGCAACCGATGGTTAGAGACCCTGAATGACATGGCTCAAAATCGTTTGCAATGGCTCAGGTGTATCCACTCTCTGTGTTCTCCCAAATTGTAATCACCATAATTCTCCTTGTCTCTTTTTTTCTCTTTTTAAATATATTTCACTGGATTATACTGCTTGAATAACATCTTCAAACCCTAATCTTTCGGATTACTGCTTATAATCTTACTACCTCTACCACTTTGGGATTTGAATCGACAATTGTATCTCTGTGCTAATGTTGTATGGCAACTCGAACTGATGTACGTAGGTACGAATTTCTACGTTGTTACTGACTGAACTGACTGAATTACTCATTAAGATGTTGATATATGAAAGTAAAGATGCGAAAAGGACTGATTGGAAAATAAAAGTAATAATGAGAATAGAGTGTAAACAATATAGATCACACCTTTTTGGATGATAAATCAATATCATTAGGGTAGGTGTTTAGTTTAAGTATAAGATGATTTTAAATGCACACAGTGGGAGAGGGCTTTGAACTTCCATACAGCTAAAGTTTTGATAATTCTAAATATTCCCTATAGACAAATTCTATTTAAATCAATTTTATAAGTTGTTTCAATTATGAGTTTAGTAATTGATGAAGATCAGTGTTTAATACTTACGTTTATTAAGATATTGGATTTTATGTATACTTAAAGCAATGATGGTACATGTTTAGACATCTTAACAAATAAATCACGACTGCTCAGCCGTAAATGTGTGGCCACAAAAATAAACACACAAACATGAGTGTAAATTGATAGACGCAATGAGATCTGATACAATCGTTGAAACGTTGACTATTTTTATAGTGAAGGATGGACTCTGTTAATGCTGTTAATGACAAAAGAAAAACCGAACATCATCTACAAAACAAACTGTTCCAATTACGAAAAACACAAGATCAGACAAATTGGACTCCTTCTTCATCGTTGCCTGAATGAACATCCATTAGCGGTCAAATGCCAGAATATATCTTCACTTATATCAATGCATGAGGACGATTGTGAACACACATTCGAATAAAAAAATATTGAAATCTTGGATAGAAGGAATACTCAAAACAGTAGAAAGTTCTCTTGGGGCTTAGCACCAGGTCAATCAGAAATCAACAAACATCGAAATCGATCTTAATTATCAACCAATCAGAAAGATCATAGACAAATATATGATCAAGAATCACAGTAAAGGGAGATCCAATCGAAATAAATAGGCAGACGATGACAACGTGAAGGTTAACAGTGGGCAATAAAATTTGCGTTCGACAAGGCAAGCTATGAGTCATATGTGGAGAAATCCGAACACTTTACTCCTTCCTAAAGTTTATACTGACGATGTTGTTCAGAAGAACAATGAAAGCTCCACGACCGGATCATCTACCTCAAAGACGAAAACTTCATATAAATCATCCACTTGAGCTACAAATCTTCGCCACCATATCAATATCAATACATTCTCCAAATTAAATTAATATACTGAGGTGTTTAGTTAATAATGAATAATAAACACAACCATAGAACAAATGAATTAAACAGAAAAGTATTAATGAGTTAATTTATAATGAATTACTTGTAATGAGCAGCTTTTGTAGACATATCTTTATGACAATTAGGTATGGGACTAGAATAGTAAGGTAGTTGTGAAGAAAATTCTAGATTTTTAACTGTATTCTTATCATTATCATCAGAAAAACAATTCATTTGTTGATAATTATCCCATATGCCAGGATGTCGATGAGTTTTACTTTTACGGCTACTACTATTACTACTAGTAGTAGTAGTGGTAGACGTAGAAGTAGTATTAATTGTTGTTATTGTTTTCTTATTGGCTAAACGTTGACTTTCTTGTTCAAGCATGTGATACATTTCACCGGCACGTGTCCACAAATCTGAAACAGATTCATTTTGATCTTGATCAAATGATGCCCATAAACGTGAACTTAATAAACTTGTTTTACTGGATCTGTGTGATGTACCAACAGAAGTATAATTTGACTTATTGGTATATGTTGCATGATACGGCATAGGTGAATATTCTTTAGCTAAAAAATAAAAAATGTACAAATAAAATTATCCAATGGAAGAATGTGCATAGACCCAAGTTGTCATATCAAATCAACACAAAGGAAAGAAATTAACAAAAGAAAACTGAAACAACCAAAATAGTGCAGTATGCAACGGTAATGAAAAGGAACGAAAAGTTGAGAATATAATGTGAGAAGATAGAATAGAAAACACATATGAAATTATATTGCAATTCAAGTATGTCTAACTGACTTGTATGCTTAATTGGTAGTTGTTATCGTTGGCCATCTCAAACACCTTAATCGATAAAGAATCAGTAATTCATAAAACGTATGTGTAATCTCCCAAATTCCCTGATATGGTCGACAGGGAGGAGTTAGCTTTTCCTACCCAAATGCTCTCACATGATGATGAGTACATACCCACTGCCATGCAAGTCCTACTCATTGTAATCTCATGACTGTGTTGTTCTTTATGAGATTGAGAGGACGAAAATCCAATGTCCGGTCACGGCTTAAACCGGGCTGATAAATACGACGGAACATACACCTACAGGGTTGAAAGACTCTGATCCTAAAACAATCGTATACATGGGATCCAGGATTCTAAGAGAACAAACGAAGTATGAACTTTTTGTTGGTCACCGACTACCATGGGATTGCATCTCCTAACGTTGCTCCACTACATTGTGGATCAGAACTCAAGATCGAAAAGTTTGGGAGTGTAACCTTACTATTGTTCACTAGATTATCTAACAAAACGATAGGAATGCTTTGAAGACATCTTTGATTAAATATCTGAAGTTTAACTAATGCCTTTTAATTTAATGGACCATGATTCAGAGCCAAAAACTACAAAATAACTCAATCGACAAGTAGTTAATGCATGAATACAAGTTAATACTTGTTTATAATTTGTCGCAAATTAACTTAATACATACATGTGATAATGTCAACTACTACAATAATATGGGGATTAAATAAGTAATCTATATAATTGCAAATGGTGTCAATTATGTGTTCATAAATCAGATATCTTAAATATGATTAGAGAGAACTTATTTATCCATTGAGAATTACATAATGTGATCTTATGACTATGTAGCAACGAATAGCATGTATTGTAAACTCTAAATAAATTTTTCAGATGTAATAGATATACATCCAGCTACAAAGTTACAAATGTCACTATGCCAAGTTGTGATTAAACTTTGGTCTAATAATAGAAAATTAAATACACCATATGTACAGTTATACAGTTTAATTATATTACAAATTAACTACAATCTAATAGTATAGTATGGAACAACTGCTGTGAAGATTAAACGTACAACACACTATATAACTGCTCAAATAAATATGACGCTGTAGTCTCTGTTAACGATTGAGTCAATTGTCTAAATTATCAATCCACAGATTCATAATGGTTAGACCGAAAATTTCAACCGTAAAACTAGCCAATATGAAAAAAAAGGTTACTGATCATTATTTTGAAGAAAACTAGTGATTGTCAAATGTGTACAGTAAGGATTCAAATGACTATCATCAGTGATCATTGTTTAATTGTTAAATGATACTGTTAGGAAGATAATGAGTTATCTAGTTTTTTTTATCAAGAAATAATAATGTCAATGGTTAAGATCATGAGTCAGTTGAAGCTAGACCACCATGGAAAACCTGGAAGCACTGAACGACCGTTTCGTCTGTTGTGGGGCTCCTCAGCAGTAATAATGTTTACAAGGATATCCCCCTAGTCACTTTTGTTGTTATCTTATTGATTGTTTTTATTGATAGTTTATTAATTGTGTTATACTTCGAAATTATCATTACTTACTATATATAAACAGAGTTATTTCACTACAATTTTTTATCTTAAATATCAATCTTTTAATAGTCTTTTGACTTATTTCTGTTTTTCAAAGGGTTGAAGATTATCATTGTGTCAGTCGTCCAATCTGTCAAGTTTCATATGAGAAAAATATTTCGATTGTTAGTAATTCAAATTAACGTAGACTACAGCACAGGTATACATAAGTTAACATTAACACTAATGTTACAGTGAAGTCTAATTAGCGAATGTAAATATAAGTAGATTACCTATTAGATTACACTATTGCACTGAAAAATACAAAAGTATGCCAAAAGGCATCGATATGACTAGAACTGCATTTTATTAACATAAGTAGTACGATTAATTATCAAGAAGAAGGAACCTATTATTATAATTCATATATATTAGTTGTTCGGATCTTTCCATTGATGTTTAGGACTTGCTATGTCCCGATAAGCATAATGAATGGTAATTTTTAGGATCCATTTAGAGACCAATACTGAGTTTATTTTTATCGTATAATTTTTAAATAAATAAACCATTCATATTCATATTCTTCTTATCATAAGCTTCATTTTGACCTATAACTATTATTATACGTTTCATCATTCTTGAATTATTCCCTGTCTGTTAATCACTACCTCCCTCATTCACAGTCACTTTTTGCCAAACCTTGTACAAATGTTATTTTCTATTTTATGGTACGTTGTGGTCTGTTTGATTGGTATATAAACCCAGTACGCTTGAAATAAAGGACTCATATCGTAGAGGCTCGGGATGGTGTTCTTGATCTAACTGGCTAGACAGGAAGCGGGACCAATCAGGACTCTAGACTGCTCATACGGGTTTACGCGTCGCTGATCCGATCGATAAGTCACTGCTCTCTAATTGGCGGTATCGTTTACGTACACATTAACAAGGCAGGCAGGCTACAAGTTATAACAGGACTGCAATTGATCAATCTCTTTTTTTGATATATGTGCATCCTGTGAGGATTACTTCGTTATTGCACGAAGTCTTAAGCATTTTAAGCAGAAGTTAGATGTTGGTTAGCAGTGGAATCCAGAACGCGCGTTTCACCTTACTTGGGACTCACCGGCTGGATGTAGCCACTACATTACAAAGTTGACGTTTATACCGAGACTCGAAACAAGCACCAATTGTTTCAAACGCCATCGCGCTATACACCTAACTACTGAGTACAAATAACTACTGGTTTTAGCAATGGGATAGATTTTAATTCATACATATTACTTACGTGATGAATATGAGATATTTGTTTCATGTATGTTTGAAACATCTTTTCCTAACAGCCCAATATTAAGAGTACCAGTTTCAAATGGTTGCTTATCAAGCAAATAATCATGCTCGTCATCATTATTATCATCACGAGTAAAACATGATACATTCATTTGGTGTTTTGAATGTAATCCTTGTACAACACTACCGCTATTGGTAGAGCTCCGACGTCGAGGTAGGTGAATTATTTTAGGTTCAGTATTATGTTGGTAATTATTGATGGAATTTTTATGTGAAACATTAACAGCCGGTAAAAGTTGACATGGTGAAGTATGGACATTTTTACATGTAACAGAAACTGGCTGACTCTCTGTAGTATTACTTGTGATAATTGTGTTATCAGTAGAAGTGATATTCATTGATGTTAATGTTTTCACTTGATCATATCGACCAGGATGACGAGTAGAAGCATAGGCACGTTTACGAATAAATCGAACTGGCAGTGTATCTGTGTTTACATCTTCAATACTTGACGGATCTATTGTATGTTTTCGAATAATTCGAACAGAATCAAATCCAGACTTTTTAGATGATTCAAATGTGTTTAAATTATGATCGATGGGTTTGATCTTAGTCAGTGTTTTATCAGTTCCTGTCGGAGAATTATCCATCAACTGAATTGAATCAGGTGGGCAAGAGTTTTCTTTACGAGCTTCATTGGATGATAAGAATTCATCTGAGAGTAAATGACTCGTTGATGAATTGTCAAATTCTGAAGTTTAGAAAAAAATACAAGAAAACAATTTTTCCATTAAAGTAATATCATTTTAAAATAAATATAAAGGATAACCGTTGATGTGTACAAAAATGCCAGTGAGTACTACCCGTTGCGCTGAACCGAAGTAGGTGGAGCGGACTTCGAATATGGGACTTAATGGCTGAAAATCAAATGACTTTATCACTAATTGGCTAGTACTAAATAATTCTTCTTACTTCCGACAGAAAAGTAGATATTCATACACACGAAACGTTTCAGTTAAGTTCAAAAGGTTCAATAATCAAACGCCGTAACAGTATAATACACTGACGGTTCTGAGTTAACCATTTAGAATCAAGATAACACTATACATTTGTGCGAAATTTGAAGTGCAGTGATAGATAATGTGTATATTATTATAAACTAAGTGAAAATTGACATTATTTGGTTCGTAAAATGCTCAAAATCAATAGAAATATAGATTATGTAACCAATTTAGGATGGTGCTTGAGTTAAATTACAAAACATACCTGCTCTTAAAGTAGGCTGCTTATTAAAGTACTTGATGTAGGGGTCACTACATAATCAAGTATTTAATGAAGTTAGATAATATTCTCTTTTTCTTACTCTTACTTTAAAACCCGAACTTAAGAATTTCAAGTTTGTAAACAGAAAGATGGCAAGGCATTGCATTGTAACTTATATCAGTTTGTAACGAAAATTCTATAGGGTGATAACTCAAATTCACAACGCTAGTCCGACTCTTAAAATATGTAAACTTGACTTTTTTTCGTTACTACAAGGAATAATTTGACATATGACGGTTAATTATTAAGATCAAAGCCGTTATTCCATTGTTTTATAACTTCGTAAAGTTCCATGACTGACTGATAAATCGTCAAAGGACGTTAATATGTCGTAATTTTGTTTAAACAGTACATGAATACCGAACAGCGGTATTTTACAATCGTTGATGGGTTTTTAAACTTAACATAGGAAATAAATTCATCAATCTACGTTTAAGATATACACTAATTTAAAGGAAGAACAAGAGAAAGAAGCCTTATCATTGAGATTTTTTTGTATTTCACAATGGACAGTGTGAAGGAATAATTCACCAAAATAATAAGCCATCAGTATAGATGTATTTGTGTAGAGTTTGCTGAAGTTTGTACTCCACACCACGAACTGAGCTTAATTAAACTACTCGAGACTACGAAGTAGTGGGTAGCTTTTTCGTTTTACATCGGGGGTACCTTGTAGCAGTACATATTCATGACCACACCAATGAGGATAAGCTCCGAGACCACCAACTCGTATAATGAGCATCTATATTTCAGTTTAGTGCGCTGAGGACCCAATGGTATACATATTTAGTCCTAATGAATTCTTGATATATTGCAACCATTATCCAATCTCATTGGTGGACAAAAATGCTTCACTTCAAATATGATTGAATTTCAACTAGCCACAGTGTGTTGTTGAGGAGTTATATACTAGGCGAAAACATTTATCCAGTGCTCCTTGATAGGCAATGGTTATTAACCAAAGTTAGCTCGTGATATTACATATAAATATAAGCTAATGGTTATTTGTTTGTGTTCAACAAAATCAGCTGTTTCACCGAATATCATCATATGACTGTTTATTTAATGAGAAAATGTGTCAATCTCTGATATACCGAACATGATGGCATTAACACAAACACGTATACATAGTGATTGATGCATATAGAGAACAATTAATTAACCAGAAAATAAGCTAATAATCAAGCATGCACTCATCCACACACACATACAAACTTAACACATACGAAGATCAATAAAGTTTATTGATTGCACCAAATGGTAGCAAGAAACACAAACTCAGTGCATAATAAGTAAATATACGCGCGAACTTTATAAGCAGTGATGATGCAAGTAAACAAAAAGTAGTACGGACAGTGTGATAGATACACACATGACTCATACAAACACACATAGAGATTACACTCAAATGTTAAACAACAGATTAGGCTGTTGAATGTATTTATCCTTAACAAAAACAAATTCGTTGAAGTATATAATAGAGGTGGGATATTACTGACAGTGTGTTTGTAGGCCATAATTTTTGCAAGTTCAAAAGAAGATCTACCCAGAAAGTATCAAAGTTTATAAACAAAGCAGAAACTATAAACAGTCCTTCTTTGAAGAGCATAGTTATTTATTACAATCATTACACACTAACAACGCTTGGCACACGAGAGTTTGGGATTGTTTCCTGGCACTTAAACACTGAAACAACCAATCGCCATACTTTGACCCAAATGCTCTGGTACGATCTACAGGGAGGAGTTAGCTTTTCCTACCCAAATGCTCTCACATGATGATGAGTATGTACCTACTGCTATACAAGTCCTACTCATTGTATTCTCATGGCTGTGTTGTTCTTTATGAAATTGAGAGGACGAAAATCCAATGTCCGGTCACGACCTACACCGGGGTGATAAATACGACGGAACATACACCTACAGCGTTGGAAAACTCTGATCCTAAAACAATCTTATACATAGGATCCAGCATTCTGAGAGAACAAATCAAGTATCAACTTGTTGTTGGTCACCGATTACCATGGGACTGCATCTCCTAACGTTGCTCCACAACATTGTGTATCAGAACTTTGGATCGAAGGCTTGGGAGTGCCTCTGTAAGAAAACTACCTGCTTCGGTTTTAGCACGCATGCAGTATCATAGCCCTCACACAAATCGAATGATTTGTGTGGCACAATTGTATTTGGTGCCTACTTGTACCAATGTTTATGTGATCAAACAATATGTCTAAATAATAATAGTAATAATAATAACATTAGGAGAGAAGTATTGTTATAAGTGAGTAGATAATTAACATGATCCAAGATGAATGTGACCTGTTCCTCCTCAAATTACTTCACTAATATTGGAGATTTTGTAGTCACTGAGTTAGATGACTTGGTTGTGAAACTTTCATTGTTCTTTTCAACATCATTATCAGCACGTGATACAGTGAGAAGTGAGCTATCAAAATTTCTGTACAACAACCTGTTATTCAATTGTAGGGAAATTCTAAATGCTCATTTCCCTTCGAAGTACACACTGATAATGTTATTCAGAGGGATAATGAGAGCTTCAGAACCACACTATACAGTACATCAGAAAACAAAACATCTTCATCCTGAGCTTCATATTCTCCTAGTGAATTAATAAAAACCTACTGACATAAATATACTATCATCCCTCATTAGTTTAACATAACCCCTTACTCATATAAGTGATTGTAATATGAATAGAGCATTGTGTTTTTAACACAACTTACTACTTATTAATACTTGTTATTGAGAGGACATATTTGTAATTGCAAAAACAACACAGTCATGAAAAAAGTAAACTGGTTAAAGTTACTTATCCAACTTTAAGGTTAGTTGTTCACATGGTCAATTGGGAATAGTCACTCTAATCATGAAGAACATAATAATCTTGTTAGATTGTTGTTATAATGAAGATGGTATTCAATTAATCTTTCAAATTGTCACAAAAGCATAGCTAAAAGCAACTATTATTGTTGTTGTTATTATTATTATTATAGATGTAAAACTGTACCAATTAAATATTTCTAAGCACGAAGTAGTTTACAAGCTAGAACTGCTATAACCGATTGCTTACGAATGTGTGAAATAGGTTTGATTGTAGAAAATCAATTTGATGGCTTTCATTGTTTGGAGTTAGAATTTTGTTGCAAATTAAGAGCCTCAATTAAATTCATAGAAAAGTTTTTGTATTCGTTCTGCAGTAAAATATACAGATACTTGCTAATGATGATACTGTGCGACCTTTCATTGTCTTCGGTTGGCAACTGCCTCAAACTCAACACGGTTGGACTTCATTGGTCACGGCTTCTCACTAAATCGTCTGAAATTTCCTCTCGAAGATAGTCATTAGTCGGGACAAGTTAAGTGTCAGTATAAGGTTGTGGAGATTGCTGAGTTTCAGTGAATTCATGAACTGATCTAAGTTAGATCGTTATTGAAATACAGAAAGTACTGAACAGATGTTTCATCCTAGTATGGGACTTCTCAACAGTGAGCATCTACGACTCCATATGCAGGAATCCAACCCCAAAACTTCTGTCTCGCTCGCGTACGCTTAACCTGTAAAACACTGGGCTGTTATCCAACAGTGTTAATGTCTAATTCTAATCAACCGCCGTTTATGATTTCAGCGAAATTCCACAATCTCCGTAATCGTATCTTCACATTAATCAATTTATAGGTATAAGTACCAAGGTTTGACTTAGTGATTTAATTTCCGCATTTGGTAAAAAGTGAATATTCACTCTAAAGAAGTGACTTTCAGTGAGTCATGAAAAACCAGAAATTCGAATTTCTATGCACTGGGACATCGACAAATTTATTATTATTTTATTATTATAAATGATTGTGTTGTGATGCACGGTGTCCAGAAGCTGATACTGATACACACTCACCATAGAAGACTTTAATTACTGGAGTGGTATGATGAAGAGTGAGGAAGAAATTTTATTTGATTAACCGAGTTATATATATATATATATGTGTACTCGATTGTATATATAAAACAATAAATTGCTAATATACACATTCGATTTGTTAGACAGATTAATTGATTGAAAGAACAATACCATGTTACAGAAATACAAATGAGTTTACACAGATATATACAGTAAAGTTAGTTTATAAATATTAGCACATTCAAATAAATAATTAAATGATTTAACAACTGGTGAGAAAACAGCTTCATGTGTTATGTAACTGTGAATAACACTGACTTGTTTAGAACGACAGTTTAGTTTAGAATAAATTTCGAACATGTGAAATATAGAGAGTTAAACTGTATGATTTTAGCTTTGTCAGCGAGGTATAGATTGGGTTAAAGTATGTTCCGTGCAGAATTGTGCTAGAGCATACTGATTGACTATTTTTTTTAGCCAATCAACGCTAGTGAATACTTGAAGAAGACGTTAGAATTTTCTTCTTTAAAAATTATAAATATTATATCGTTTCTCTTATAGTGATCCTTACTTCCATCTAATTATTTTACTTGGAATACCTGGTTAAGGTATAGTAATGGCGAGTTTGAGACAATGGGTAATCTAGCTCAAATCTGGTAGCAATAGAGACGTGTATTTAACTCCTATATTTTCTAAGATCGTGAGAGTTCATAAATTAATTCATATTATAAGGTAGTGTGTTGGAAACTCGGTGTATTCATTCTCATTCTTCCTCGAACTCTTGAATGTGTAATGAACAGCTCACGCTTTACACTTGATGGTGTCCATTCATTTACATCCGACTACATATTTTTATGCTTCACTGTCATATTTACTGACCATAAATTTATTTGAACTTCGTTTTGAAACATAATAAATAATCTTTTATTATCCCAACGTGAAATATGACAAACTTCCACCTGTATATTACAGATCTGCTGTTATTTCTAACGTAATTCAATGGATTTGGATGAAATTCCAAAAATTTAACATTGAATTATTTATTTATTTAAACACAGACATTGGCACAATGAGGCACCAAATATATATGCGCCACATAAATCATCCAATTTGTGTGAGGCCTGAAATACTTTTCGGGTGCCCAATCCTAGACAGGTAGTTTTCTTAGGGGATCACACCCCGACTTAAAGGTCGGGTCCAACAAGGCAGTGGAGCAACGTCAGGAGATGCATTCCCATGTTAGCCGGTGACCGAAGTTTGGTTTATACGCCATTTGTTCCTTCAGGATTCTGGAACCTATGTGAACCATTGATTTGGAATGAGGGTTTTCCAACTCCCTTAGGTGAACTCTCCGTGTCCACCAACCCAGTTAAAGCGCCGGACATTCGCTTTTCGTTCCCCCTAGTTTCGTAAACAACACCCCTGCCACGAGAAGACAATGAGTATGACTTCCCTGGCAGTGGTTGCGCGCACGTGACCATATGAGGGCATTTTGAGAGGGAGGACTGACTCTCTCCACTCTCAGCCGTACCAGAGCATTTGGTGGCGAATTTGTTCGTGCATTTGAAAAAAGTATAAGGAACAGTATATCCATATATGAAAAAGAAGTAATCTTTCACGAAAACAATAATAATAACTTTTAAGAAAAAAAAGATATTTACCAGATTCTTGAAGTTGTGATAAAACTGGATGTAATAAATTGTTAGATAAGTTGTCCAATTTTTTAATTTCTTGACTATTAAACGGCTTTTCACAATTATTACTATTACCAGTGTTAGCAGTAATAGTAGTAGTATTGATAGTAGTTCGGGGTTTTGGTGTCGGTTTATTCAACTGAGAGATTGAAACAACTGACGACTACAAATTGTAACGGATGAAAGAAAACAGACAAAAGTGGTTAGAAATCAGATAGAAATGTATAGTATTTTGACCGATTAACGAATCAATGTTGTTTTGTGATTGAAATTGAAGGTAAATGTTGCTAGAAAATAAATTGATAAGAACTTCAAATAAAGCTTAATAAGTTCATTGGTGTACAGATACTTTTGAAGTGATGTTTCTATATATTCAAACCATAGAGAGAGCAATGTCGAAGTCAGATACAGAGTTCTACGTACAAATGACAGATCAGTTGATGAAACCGTGGACTTTTATAGACAAATATGACTGGGAAATGTGTTATGCATGCCTAACCACTACCTACTCATATGTGAAACGAATGCTAGAGGACAGTCTAAGACATAGGATCAGTCCATGAAGTCACCAACAATTGGATTGAACCCTGTTGGTAGTTGTAGATTACCCAGTTGAAGTCCGAGTAACTATTGTGATCTATAGTTACAGACGTTGGGGTTAGATAGCTTAGAGTCGGTTACAGCTGCGGAGATGGGCTCGCTACTTATTTTCTTCTAAACCTTGAGTTTTTTGTTTTAAAATTTTATTCTTTCTTCTTGAATCATACTACTTATGTCTATTTTTTCTATTACCACCAGTACTGTTACTTGTCCTGCAACTCAGGCGTTTGGACTGGTAATTTCTGTTCGATGTTGTGTGCCAACTTGGACCGATGCACGAAGTGTCAGCTACTATGTAGCTTATGATCGAAGTGTACTGAAGATCTGTAAAAATGAGATAGATAAGTATAACAAACATATTTACTCTGAAACATCTTTGATATCCAATGATATCCGAAATATATGCCATATTCAATGGCGATCTACGTCACGCACATGATTTATTTATTCAAACACACAAACATTGGTACGAGTAGGTATCAAACAGATATAAACCACATAAATCATTCGATTTGTGTGAGGGCTGGGATACTGTTCGGGTACCCAAACCGAAGCACACACATACAATACCATCTAACTGTAGATGCATGTATAATTGAGAGAAAACTAAGCAGAAAACCTGTAGTAAACTTTAAGTTAATAATACCACTTTATTGTACAATGTCTCAGTTTGACCAAATTGAGAATATCTATTAATCATACAGATAAACTAACCAGTCACCGTAGGGTTAATAAACAGTAAAACAACTTCAAACTATATGATTTCACGAATACATCGTTGATGACAATTATCAACTTTTAATTATTGGATTCACCATGAAAACTACCGAACCAACTTTGAACAATGACAAAGAATGATACAACAGGCACGATGCTGATAACATGAAAGATTCTGTAGTATAACTGTGCAAAAGCTTGAGGTGAGCTCTGGACAACGAATGAAACTAGATGTATATTGTACAAGGATCTATTGCATGCTGGTATATGGCTGTGAGACGTAGACAAATGTAAGTGATTTGTAAGCTTTAGTATTATAGCTAAGCCTCAACTAATCACAGTAGGCCGAATTCACCTTCTCTATTAACTTTGAATAAACATTTAATGAATCACGCCATGTTCTTCTTGCTTATTTTAATGTTTTTCCACTATCTTCTTTTAAGACTCTCCTTCATTTTTATACCGTTGTAACGTGCTGGTATGTTAAATTTATCTAGTGTAAAGTTGCGAAACGGAGGAAGGGGAGGAGCGATAAGATAATAAATCGCTATAACATGAACATCTTATAGCAACACTCCTACAATCAATTTTAATTACGGTTAATTTTGTCAAACCCTTTAATTAATTTATTCGACAGTGTTATTTGAACAGTAGCAGTTTGTCTATCTCTTTGTATTATTATGATCACTATCATGTCTGTATAAACGTGTACATTAGATCACATGTGAGTTTACGTACATATTCCCCACTTTACCTTAAATGTTGATCGCCTAAATATCGCTAGATGAATCATTCTCTTTACCATATGTATATTTCAATCTTATTAATTTTTGCCTTGCCTCGCTTCGCCTCGATGCCATTTGACTCTGAAACCGCTTCTGTATTCGCTTGCTTGTGTGCATTATTCTCTCAGCTCAAATTCGCTCGATGCGCTTAGAACTTCTTTACCTGTGCTATCCAATAATAAAATGTAGTCATCGCTTCGTATCGCCTTCTGAATTCATACACCGTTGGGATTTACCTAATAACAGTTACCGGGGTAATTGATAAACGAAACCTAAGGAATTATCTCGAGGCCAAGCCACTACAATCTAAAACGCAGTGTAAATTATTGATAACATTCGTATGATACTACTAACAATCAGATATTAGAAATAAAATGATGACAGAATATGTTCTAATCTAATAAAATAATAGAAAATCGGCTTCTATGATCAAATAGTCAGTCAGTCACAACGTGGAGCCTGTATGTATGTACATCGGTGCAAGTTGCCATACTCCACAGAGAGATGGAATTATAAGACCAAATCCCAGAATGCTAGAGGTAGTAAGAGTATTAGTGGTAATAGGGAAGATTAGGTATCAATGATACGATTCAAGAAAAAGATACAAATTAGTGAAATAAAAACGAGACAAGAAGTTGAGGAATTCAGCATGTCACAATTTGAGGGAAACCAAAAACAGACCACAACGCTTTACTACTTATGTTCCACAATAACTTTGCCGTTTTACACACAACTATAACTGAGACATCATTATCAATAACAACGCATTACTGAATGGATTAATTAGACTTATTATGTAATGTATTCACTCAAGAGGCTGAAAGACTTACAGTACAGTCAGGTGAAATCTCATTTCATCTTTATGAACATCAGTAGTAATAGTAGTAGTATTACTAGCATTAGTAGTGTATAAAAATGCAGAATTTGAATCTTTCAAAGACATATTTTGAATACCATTAACGATATTAGATGAAGTCAATATTTTAAGCGGTGATAATTCACAAATTGTATCAGTAATTGGTTGGTTAGGAACAAGAGATTTATGTAGCAATGTAAGTTGAATATTTCGATCGCTGAAACGAAAGATTTAAGATGAAGTCAATAATGATAAAAAGAATAAAAATAAAGTTTAAGTACGTATATATATATATATATATATATATATATATATATATATATATATATATATATTAGTCGCATGACTACAATGTAACTTGATTGACAGAAGTCGATGAGCAGGACACTAAAGGACCAGACAAACATTAAACTGGTCATTGCTAAATGATCAAACCATAGTAAATACCTCAGTATTATTATGGTCAGTCGCGATTTGAGTTGCTCAGTGGTGATATCTCTAAATGTGCAACTGAGTGATCTACGCTCGAATCCAACATGAAGCATTAGTACCCTAGTGATTACAAGTACACCTCAGTGACGAGTCTCAAATAGCATAAAACCGAAATAGAGCAAGGCTTTCTGTAGACTACCTTCAACCACTTAGCAGATTCAATTAATGGTTTTAATATTGCATATTTTGTTATTGTGAAGAGGGACCACGGGTGAACTCAATGAAACTGTAGGAGGCTCAGAAGGAGCCTAAGATATTCCATCCAATCACTCTTTGGAAGAATATTCTAGAATACCTACATGTAGCTTCCCGATTGGACAATGCTAATAACCCCCTGTATGCGGATCGGGGGACTGTAATGATGATTTTGTTCTCACTAAAAAACTATAAATACCCGACAATTTTGTACTAAAATTGACACGGTCTGGGAATAATATTCCCTTCATTAGTTTTCTGTCTTCTCATTGCGGCTTGGAGGGGTTCTGGCGTTCTAGTGACCACGTTATACGCGGTATATCAGGAACAACCTTCTAGATATAACAATTGGCGACGGGGTAGGAAAAGAATTCTGAACCCTCAATCTTCAACGTCAGCCTGTAACTAGATGAAATTCAGTCTAATTATTTCGAGCAATCAGCATTCACATTTGTCATCGGTGTCCTTAGAAGACGTTGATTGTTAATTTATCACATAGTATTTCTCATTACCGTGCTGATTCAGAAAATGGTTATCTCTTCCGATCAATTACAGTTGCTATTTGAGAGACAACGGCAGCATTTCAAAAAATAGCCAGCTGAATGTTTTAGACAATTTACGCACACGGCTGCTAAATCATCCATGTTTTGGAGATGTGACAGAAGTTGATAAACTAATTTCTAATTTGCATACAGAGCTGGAAAATAACCGCAAAACCTATGAATATGTCGATAAAAGCCTCTATGAATCCTTGACGATCAGAAATGTAAGCGAAGCAGTAGCAGTCATTCACGATCCTCCCAGTGGTCCAGAAATGTTCATTTCAGAGACATGCCCTGTTGCTGGTTCAAATCCCAATGCCCACGAAGACACAGAAAATGAATCAAGCAGCATAATGAAGACAGTGGAATTACATGGAGCTCATCATTCCAGAACAAAAAGTTCTGATGAATCTACTTATTGGAGTTCTCTAGTTGTTTTATCAAATATGAGTTATTTTAATGACTCATCTGCTTTTGATCAAATTTGTTACAAAAATGAGAAAAATTTGTCGGATGCACCAAACGACGATCAAGAACCTAATAAAATTTTGATAGATGCTGATTATTCTAGTGATCGACTATCTACTAATGAGATTTCCAAGAAATTCGATAGCAATGTTCCAGAAGAATCAAACTTTGATGACCTCATATCAAGCGACGTTGATCCTTACCATTTAATCACCTTTAGCAAATTCTCTGTTCAATGTGACAAATAAGTTTTAAGTAAAGTCAAATTGATTGTAACTTGAGAGTATGAGGATCCAACACTGTTTCGTGAGGGAGGAGATGTTATGTCCCGATAAGCATAATGAATGGTAACTTTCGGGATCCATTTATGGACCAATACTATGCGTATATTTTCTTCGTATAATTGTTAAATGACTAAACTATACATATTTATTTCCTTCTTATTATGAGCTTTATTTTAACTTATGAACTATTATTATACGATTTACTATTCTTGAATTATGCCCTGTCCATTAACTACCACCTAACACATTCACAGACACATTTGGCCAAATCTTGTACAAATGTTGCTTCCTATTTTATTGGTACGATGTGGTTGTCTGGTTGGTACATAAACCCCGTATGTTTGAAAATAAATGATTTATACTACAGAGGCTGGGATTGGTGTTCTGGATACAATTGGCTGGACTAGGCGGAAAGCAGGACCAATCAGGACTCTAGGCTGCTCGCACGTGTTTTATGCGTCACTGATACGGTCGATAGTTCGCTGCTCTCTGATTGGCGATATCGTCGCGCTATCCAATATACAGGACATACAGGTTCACAAGTTATAACAGTTATGTAAAAATCAACGACAACTCATAATTACTGACTGGAAATGACATGAGTAAAAATGTGAAATCATTACAAAAACGAGTCAAATATAATAAAAGTAGTTTTTCTTGTCAAACAAAAATACAAATCTAGATTATAAGTTGAGAATGAGATTAACAGACACTTGACATTATTCTGAACAGTTTAAAAGCCTAACAGCCCATTGAACTGTTCGAAAGACCTGAATATTACAAAATGGTGAATACGAGATATGTAGAAAAGAAAATTACAGCGGCGCAAATCCGATAGTGTGTGATTTGTAATAGCTATATTCAACTAATATATTTATACACGAAAGTAAAATTCCCAGAAAAACTCAATTGGCTCAGACAACTGATTTCGAGTACAACTCATCATTCTATATAAACAGGAAAATGTATTGCGTGCAACTAGGCGCGTTAATTAATCAACAGTCATACTCAACTAACAAAAGTGGAAAAGAAAATATTTATCTTTAACTCGGCAACGATCATCACATTGTTTACAACTAAACTTGTTAAAAGATTATTAAAGTATTGAGTCTCGTTTGGTTCTTTATAGTAATAAATATTAGAGGGATGTTTGCGAATTTACGTGTTTTGTGGCATGAAACAAACGTATTACACTGAAGATATCACAATACACTACTGTGTAACTCGAATTAGTACTCACAACACTGTAAAAACTTAGAGCATATAGTTTGACTGACACAAAGTACTAGAATTATTCAGTGGCATGTTCCATAACAATCCTCTCGTGTCAGTTTAGAACGGTCATGACAAGTTGGAAACACCGGTTCTCGTTCAACCACCAAAGTTAAACAACGTTGGACCCGGTCAGTACTTGCATGATTAACCGGCTGGGAATATCGAGTGTCACGGTCTGTCTTTACCCCTAAATACCCTGGTAAGACCAATGGTGTGGAGGGTTCCCTTTACCTCTCTAAATGCTCTCATATGTAAAACCATATATAGCCACTGCTAAGGAAGTCCGAATCACTGACTTCTCGTGATTGCAGTGTTACTTACGAAATTGACAGGACAAAAGACAATGTCTAATAGCGGGTTAAATGGAGTTATTGTGTACGGACAACATATCCAAGACAGTTGCAAAATTTTGATTCCAAACTAATGTTGTACATGAACTACAAAATCCTGACAGGACAAATCGAGTATGAAACAACTATTGGTTACCAGTTATCATGGAACAACGCTCCACTACCTTGTTGATTAGATATCTATGTCAAAGGGTTAGGAAGTGGCCTCCGAAGAAAATCACCTGCTTCGGTTCAAGCACACTGGTAGTATTCCATTCAACACGCAAATTCAATTATTTGTGTGGTGTATATATTTTTTGGTGCCTCTTTGTACTAATGTTCGTGTTTAAGTAATTAAATAAATAAAATAAGACTTAATAGATTGAAGCTTAATGTGCCAACAATTAAAAACAATCGACAAATACACATTAATTAAACCAAAAGTAAGCAGCTACTACCCTTGGCCTTTACATTACCCAACTATTTTAATTAACTGTATTATTCTATACAACAATTCAGTTCAACATAAACGTTACCTTGTGTATAGTCAATTGAATAAAAGAGAATAATGAAAAGACTTTTATTTTCATTTTTAATGGATTGGGATTATCCCGTTGTTGGTATTTTGATTGGATTTATTCTTCTTAGTTTTATTAGGCATATGTCTATCTTGTGTCGGATAAGCCTGATAGATTTCATTGCTAAATACAATTCAATCTAATATTTTATAAAAATTAGAAGCTTTATTTTTAGCCTATGTAATCGAGATACCGATCAATTTAGCTTTCAAATTTATTTTATTGGAATTCAGTTGAACCTGTTCTATGCTAACAGAAATTGACTTGTTAATAAATTTAAGCAATTGAATAAAGTATACAGAATGTGTGATTATTATAAAATTTCCAGTTTTAAATCATGAATGAATCTTGTTGAGACTATTATTGGATGAAGGTTGTCCAATGTCGTGGATTGATTAAAGTTCGACAGTAACGCAGTGGATCCTAGTTTGGTGACCTAGGATTAAGTGTTCGTGGGCGAGAGCGAAGGTCCTAGGTTCGATTTCCGAATGCGGGATCGTGGGTGCCCATTTTTGAAGAACCCCTTACTAGGATGAAACGGCTATCTAGTGACACCAGTTTTCCAATGGTGGTCTAAGATCAATTCGTGATTTAAAACTGTGAAAACCAAATTAAGTATTGCAAACACATCCTATTTGAAAGAACATTCTATAACATTATAGTATCAAAAGACCAAAGAGCTAGAGATGAGTGGTTGTGCAGTAAACCAACACTAAAAATAGGCAAAAAAAATGAGTTAGTCAGGATAAGATTACTGATTAAAACATAATGACCCAACCAAATGAAAGGAGTTGAACGAAAGTTCATGATGTAATGAAGACTTTTAAATATTACGAATTGTGTAAGCGGCTGGCGAGAACCCACATAAATACAATGGATTTATGTTGGTCTGCTCAAGTGCTTGTTCACGCTGTATTCATTTATGTTCAACTGCTTAACTTCGAACTTAACCATGTCTTATTCTTGTCCTTACGTAACGAGCTGCTATAATTAACCGATTATGTGACCTCGATTTTAGAGTTCATTTTGCACCTGTTCAGTCACTGACTAATTCCTATCTTCAGAGAAACTATTGAGATATAATGTTAACTTTACCTACCGGGATTTATTTTGTAATGATTTGATTTGGAACTGTGAAACTTAGATATATTTGTGTAGAGGAGCCAAATAAAAAATAAAATCTCTTCACTCGACTTGTATATTCACACAACCAGAAAATTAATATTAGTAGTAGAAGTGGTAGTAATAATAGTTTACGGCAATTGACGTCGGTAAACGAAAGGCATGTTCCAATTGGATTCGATAAGAAAATAATAATAATCATATCGTTATGCAGAAGCCATCATAATTCTGTAGCCATTGAATTTCGACTGACAATAAAATCCAGGAAGCATGTTTTTCGTTTTGCTTGTGACAACTTGGTAGTTAGATGTAAGTGCAAAGCAATCCTAACGAAAAATCCACTTATTTGAAAATTAATTATATGACTAACTTTGCTAGCAACCATTACGCACACCAAATGTATATTGGACGGTGTGGTTTGAGGTAGTCGACATCAAACCCTACTTGACCTAGGTTTCGTGCTATTTGGCACTCATCAATAAGGTTTGCCTGTATTATTGAGGAAGGTGATGTTCCGTATGGGATTCAATCCCATGTCTTTCAGGTTTAGAATTAGAAACGTTACCACTGAGTTATTAGGACCGTGATGGACCTCTTAGAGGACTGAGATATTTACGATTGACTGATCACTGAGTAGTGACTAATATCATGGATGTGAAGTCTTTTTTAGTGCCAGTAGGTAGAATTAGATTAGTATTAAGAAGGGATCGACATACGTTGCACTAGTCATTACTCAGTGAACAACCACTTGGAAATGTGAGTATCAAGCAAAGACTTCGCAAGGCTTAACTTTCGATTAAGATTAACTTCAATTATTGACATCAATTTGGTTAGATACACAAACAAAAATCAAATAAGAAGCTTTAATATTAATTAAAGCTTCCATCTAGCTGTACAAATAATTGGCAAAGTTATTATATTTCTCAAGCAATCAGTAAATGTCACGCAACGAATAGAAAGAACTAACCTGCCACTTCGGAGGAAATTGGAAACTTCTAAGAATGTCATAGATTTCACAGGTTTCTGATTAATGGAAACAATCCGATCACCTATTCTTAAGCCAGATGCCTCCGCCGAACTGCCTCGAGCAACTTTAGTCACTAGAGCAGTGGACTCGTATGGTTTACCTGTAAAAATTCCGATTATCAAAATGGAAACGGGAGTTTATTCACTAGACAGACAACCAGACAAATAAACCAGATGTTGAAGGTGCATTAGAATCGCGTAGGTCAGTCAGTAAGTTATCACCAATGTAGATATCTGGCACAGATATGCATCGGCGCATTTCCATACAAGATTAACACGACGAGAACATAACAAGATGAACAGTAAAAAATATTAAGATAATGCAGCAGCGGTAATAATGAGAGAACTGGATGTTAGGAATTTGGCTCGAAAAGACAGTGGAAAGGTGTGTGTGAAAATTAACAACTCCACCAACCGACGCCCCACTTCTGCTTAGTACCTCATATCTAACTTCAACATTTCTGACTCAATTATCCCATAGAGCGCGAGTAGTGTTTCGAAAACATTTATGATCAAAAAGCTTTAGCCTACATATGTCTTTTACATTGAAAGGCCATGTTCTACGAGTGTAAAATAATACAAGGTCTACTGTTTCTCGGCATGAATCCTTTGGTTGGCAAGCAGATATCTCATCTACTACACACGTGACATAGAATGGTAAGCGCCATATAAACTTACGAACCCATGCCAAGACTACATCAGACACCAACCCACCAGGGCCGATAAGACCTTCAAGACAAATGAAGTGGTCACCGCACCCACCAGTTAATTATAACCTGAACATGAAAAAGACCTTTTACGAACGTTTAGACAAAATGTATTGATATCGTTAGCCTTGTGGAATGTGTACGAAGAGGAACATATATTGGCTTTGGCAAAATGATTCGACCACTCGCCTTTTGGCAACTGAGTGTCCAAGCCCTATCCCAATCACACCAGTTGGGGTAAAGAACACGAATCATAACAGATGAAGTGAAAGCGAAGGTGATTCTGAACTACTAACTGAGGTAATACGTGACCAGAAATTCAAACAAGTATATCTTTACCTGAATTTTAGACCCCATAACTTAACAAAGAGAAATAGTGATTCCGAATGATACATTGATTTTTCATTGAATAATATAGTTACCAATCAGGAAGCTAAAGAGCATAACAAACGTCACTGAGGAAACGGGATTATGACTTGAAGAGTTTAATAGACCCTTCTGATGAAAACCGGTCGACTAGTAAGAAACGGAGTCTAGTAAGCAGTGAATTTAATGTCAGTGACCAATGTAATATAAAAAGAAAAAACCGAACAGAACCAGGACTGCTTGAATAGATATCTACTAAACATTCAGGAGTTCTGATAACTCGATCGAAAATCATTTTAATAAACCAAATCAAGAAAACCACTGGTCGAATAAGGCAATAAACGAACCGAATTTACTAGTCAGACTTCACGTTATTGCTTGCTAAGCACTTTTGAAATAACCTAGTTAGTGAGGTGTGAAATCTACACGCTAATGAAATACAGAAGACGACCGATTTATGATTCAAGTCTTGAAGATATTTTACTCAAGCTTTACTGTTTCACATCCTCAATTTACTAAAAAGGAAAGTCCACCAAACTCACCTTCGTCTTTTAATGTAAACCCCAATCCGAACGGAGTCTTTTCAATGACAATAGACATTGGTATATCCATTGTGAGGGAATAAGTTCACTTTATTATGACAGCTGCATGTCTCCGAGTTAAATTATCAGAGAGCATCAGTAAAAATCAAACTACATGCCATGTGAGAAGAGAATATCCAAATCAAAGAACCCGCTTATTTACAACACCATCTATTTCCACGTAAGTCAAGAGATGAGTAAGCAGTCAGAAAAGAAAGGATGAAAAATTGTCGTTTAAGCATTTGACATCGATTTCAAAAGCTTTTCCAATATTCTTGGATTATCGTTCCTCGATTTGTAGGGTCACTACTCAAGGTTCTATATCGTAAATTATCAAATGTCTTTGGGACTGATTACTCCTTAGCTATGCAGTTTCTCGTTAAGAAAGGACATCAACTTGTATTTTTTCCCACTTTGAGTTTCGGAATACTGTTTTTATCTTGAATACCTCTATTTCTTAGGAAGTGGGCAGTTAATGTTACGAGAATCGTGAGGATGGTTAACATAAACATATTTTGTAATTGGTTTTTACTATTATTTGCATTTTTCCTTGATTTCGCATAATTTGTACAATTACCGTTGTTGACTGTAAAACTGCTATTTTGAAAAACTTAATCTTCATCTTCCGTTCCCGTTTTGTACTCCCATAACATGACACATCGATTATCGCTTAGAAATACACTGCTGACCATATTTACTTCTTGTTCTTATATGTCAGCTGTCACGATAACGGAACTCCAATATAACTGATGCCTAGGTTTGCAGATCACAATGATATTCTCAATACGCGATTAATCTGAATACTCATTTTGTTTTATATCAATCATATTAGAAACCACTGATCACTTATAATTGTAGAGTATGAGACTGAAAAAGGAACTCAAACACGCCTCCTTCTGAAAAGTTGAGTGATCTCATTTGTTTTCCTTGTGTATAATCTATGTTGTGGTGTATTAAAAAACCAACCTTTTTAATTATATAAGACCTTCAGGCGTCATAATTCTTCTGAATGAAGATCCTTCAACTCCCGGGGCAGAGTTTAAACGATTTAATTTGTTTATTCTGACTGGCACCTAATCAGTAAGGTTGCTTTTTAAGGGATGAGGTTGATGACCTCACATCCAGCCTTCTTGATTTGCCTGGACTTAGGACCGGCAAAAACCCTAGAAGAGCTAAAGTCGGAGCTATTTTAATGACAAGTTTATCACTATCTTGGAACCATATATTTACTCCGCCACGTAACTTTGAAAGTAACAGTTTATGTACGAAAGAAATGGATAGTTGACGGGACCAGTAATGAATCCAAGTGTTGTTTGAATTGTCTATTAAATCCACCAAAATTTGCATTTAAATTCATCCGCCAGCTTTTATGTGCTGCATATCCTGAGGAATAATGACAGTTAGTATTTTGATGAGGTGACGCGTTTGCATAAATAGGGTTTCCCAATAGACATGCACAGTTGACTATAATAATTCTTTCTTCGGTTGGTTAATTTCACAAAACGAACGGTATCGATTTTTGGTCACCTGAATTGCATATTTATTTTAGAGCGTTGTAAAACTAAACGGTAGATTGTTTATTGTTATGAATCCCGTTCAAGTAAGTCGAATTATTTTGGTTTCACACAAAAATAATGTCATAATTTTCAGTGGTTAACCAAACATTCATAACAACGAGTTAATGACCCGCTCAGTTGTCTGTCTATGAGAGAAACCTCACGAAACAGATATCAGTAATAGTAAAGTGGGACTAATACAATCCGCTGTCTATCCATAATAGAAGTCATCTGTAGAGGTGAATAAATACCCTAATTGAGTATCTTTGTGAATTTTATAACATCGACTCTAGCCTCACTAATTTGTACTGAACTGAAAGCTGTCGATCATGCATCCGCTCCAGGTCACTACTGAACACGCCGTGCTACGCATCCTTTGCAAAGAAAAGCCGACGTAGATTATATGCTTCTAGACATATCGGTAAACCTCCAAACCTATCTTCGAACTCCATTCCTGACTTCTGGTTTGACTGGCTATGTGATCTTTTAATTATGGTGTTTCGAGTCAAAGCGTTGTCGAACCCAGAATATTCGAGCTATGCCCTGGACTTTGCGTTACGATAACAGGTTATCTGATGTAGTGTTTAAATATCGTTGAGGCCTGTAATGTAACTCAAAAATGGCATTAAAATCAACAGTTATAGCAAAATTGGTGGGCTGTCAAAAAACGAGCCCGAGGAAGCCCTAATTCTTCAGACGACAACAATCCTGTTACTACCTACACCCCATGTTCTGTGACTCCTTTTGAATCAGATAACGTTGGGAGCCGACGTACACGACACCTGCTGCTGAATGACCCAGTTTCTAATTTAATAATGAGTTTTATTTCAATATTAAAAGTATTGATAATATTAAGTGAGAATTAGGCATTATCGATAAGCAATTAAGCGATATGCGTTCTAAAGTGGAATCACTTACAGGCCCTCTATCAAAGCATGATGATCTTAAGCAAGAACCAAAGACACTAACGCCCTTAAACTGCTACTGTCGAAGGATGTAGTTCTTGTGGAACTTGGAGACATTATCAAAGTAGGGTCTGTTATCGATTTTATCGCTGGCGAATTTACTAAGCGAATAATCTCTCGAAATAACGTGAGTATCAATAACATGCTCAACAAAATCTCCATTAAACCCGCAAGAAATCAGATATTAAGAACAGTCAATTTCTAAGATAGTTCATCCCAATCTATTATTAAAGAGTTTGAGCAGGCGGACTGCATGTTCAATAACGCTCATACTAACATACATTTTACTATGGAGCACGGACAGAACATGTTCCACTTTCTTGATGTTGCCATAAAACGCAGGGGAGACGGGACAGTCCAACGTTCAATTCATAGAAAAGTAGTTGGAATGGCCTCTACCTGAATTTCAATAGCTTTTGTCCAATTAGTTGCAAGAAGGCATTGGTTAAAACACTATTTTACAGGGCAGAAAAGATATGTACCACCGACAAACTGGAAGAAGAATTAATGAACGTAGAAAAATGTCTAAAAAAACTTTTATCCACAAAAGTTTATTGACACATATAAAAGGCCCAAGGAAAAGAAGACGGTAATAACTATAGTCAATAAAAAGCCAGTATATATAAATCTTAACTTTAAAGGTGATGACGTCGCACAAATTATCAACAAGAGACTGAATACAGCGCTAGCCAGAACTTATCCGGCTGCCAAACTTTTAATTCTCTATAAAACAACAATAACCCAATCAAAGATCGACAAGCAACCCTATCAGGTTACCGCCAACTGTATTTATAAATTTACGTGTACCTGCCAAAGCAGCTACACTGGCCGAACTGAAAGGAGAGCATATCTTAGATTCTTTGAACATGTTCCAAAAAGTCTTAGAACAAGGGAAAGACTCTGAACAGTGCAATCACCAAACATCTCCTTGATACAGGACATCAGGTAGATACCTTACAATCATTTAGGATGTTTAGTAAGCAGCCAAACTCCAGTGTTCTGAAGTTTGCTGAAGCCATTGCCATCAGTGTCAAAAACCTGACCTATGTATTCAAAAGGAGACGGTGGTTAATCTTTCCTTGCCCTGGTGACAAATATTCCTTCACTGCACCATAAATTTTTTTCTTTTTTCTTTTGCATTTATTACATAATTGACTCTATTTTATTTTTCAACTATCTTTCAAATTATTAATCTTTCAAGTAAACTCTACTCACTACATTCCTTCAATGTTATTCATTATGTAATCGATTGTTTCTACCCCACTTTTGAACTGTTGTCACAATTAATCTTGTAGAATATTCTTTCACATTAGGTATGTATTTAAAATATTCAGTTAGCAATTTAAACCCATTATGTAATTACGATTTTTAAATATCACAGGTTGTAAGTAGCTGACGAGAATCTACAAAATAAAATGAATTCATGCTATTCTGCTAGAATCTTTGTTCTTGCTCTTTTCAATATAGAGGATATAAACATGCTGACTGGGACCTATTGCGTACGATGGTTAAATTCTCAAACTTGGATAACTCTTCCTCGGCATTGAACGCTGTCCGTGTTAGAAGTGGTGTAATACAAAGTAGCCTCTTAGGCCCTTTTCTCTTTTTGTTAAACATCAATCACATTTGTGAATGTTTCTGTGTGGGTAAGCCCCTTGTGTATGATGATGATCTTAAAGTAGTGTATTTATTTTCTTCACATGAACTGAACAATATGTAAAATTGCATCAGCATAGATCTCGGTAAGATAACTCAGTGGTATTCAAAATGGTAACTGGAGGTTAATACTACTAAATGTGGATGGATATGCTTTAGTAATACATCACTCGACTTCGATTTTTCCATAAATGGTGGTGTTATCTAGGTTACATACAGTAATAAGACTTAAGACTTAGATACTCACAGAATTTTTTGTTAAGAGAACAGGTACTCAAAAAGACTTCCGAGTCTCAACGTGTTACAGGTTGGATAACTCGAAACTTTTATATCAATGAGTCACGTTTTTTAATGTACAAAGTTTGTGTTCGACCACTCCTAGAATACTGCACGTTTATTTTTAGTAGTGTGTGCATAAATGATAAATTAAGGCTGGAATCAGTACAGCGGCAATTTACAATTTCGATTCTTGGAACTGATTGTACCTTGAGTTATAATTCCAGATGTAATAAACTTGGACTCGACCCTTTATGGAAGAGGAGACTCAAACGAAATCTTATCTCTTTCTTCAAGATACTTAAACTATCTTTTACATCCAGTCAAGTAACTCAATATACAGAAATATCTAAGTAAGACATCCCATTCTTTGTTCGCCGCATTGATGTATGATACTGTTCTGAAAATGCACTGAATGTTCTAGCACCTGTAAGTGTACCTTGCTCCAAAAGTGAGATTATAAGAAACTGAAACGTATAGCCATTCTTGTTACTGGATTAACTAAGCATATCAATTACCCGCTGTTACTTTGCGTTAGTACCGTCCCTGGCAACCTTAACTAGTTTGAATAATATCTA